CGAAGTCCCTTCCATTGAGTTCCAAATATTTATCTAATACATCTTCGGATCGTTATACATACGAAACTATTTGATTTCGAACACTCAGTTCCTCTCTCTCAGATTTGTCAAATACATTCCTGTATTGTGACCCATGGCACCTCTCAGGATTCTCATCAGCGGTGCTGGTATCGCCGGTAACGCCCTCGCGTTCTGGCTCTCCAAGCTCGGTCACGAAGTCACCGTCGTCGAAAGGTTCCCGCATCTCCGGACCACCGGCCTCCAGCTTGATCTTCGGGGCCATGGCATCCAGGTCTTGAAGCGAATGGGTCTCGAGCAAGCCTTCCGTGCCAAACTCGCCCCGGAACAGGGAATTCAAATAGTCAGTGGCTCTGGCAAGAGGTGGGCCTACTTCCCTGTTAAGAAGCCGGGCAAAGGGCTGCAGGGGTTCACCACGGAGTACGAGATTCTAAGGGGCGACTTATGTCGACTCCTGTACGATGCGGCCAAAGATCGGACCAACTTTGTCTTCGGGACTTCGATTGATAGCTTCGAAGAAAAGGGCGATACCGTCGAAGCTCGATTCGCGGATGGGAAGACCGATAGCTTTGATCTCGTCGTTGGAGCCGATGGCGTGGGATCTCGAACCCGGAAGCTGATGATTGGAACTGAATCAAAGGATCCGTTTTATCCCGTGGAGAACATGTACATTGCATATTTCACAATGCCTCGAAAGATCCGAGAGGGAGAGCAATACATTGCTTCGGCATACACCGCCACTGAGGGACGGGCTATCATGACTCGAAGACTCAACGCCGACGAATTGCAAGTCTATCTCAACTGCAAGTCGGATTCGGAAAGGCTGAGAAACGCCCGTCGGGGAGACGTGGAGGAGGAAAAAGTTGCCATGGCTGAGGTGTTCAAGGGCGCGGGGTGGATAACGGACGACATCCTGAAGTCACTAAGGGACGTTGGCGATTTTTACTGTGAACGCCTCGGCCTCATCAAAATGAAGCCTTGGTACAAACGTCGGGTGACGCTTGTGGGGGACGCAGCCCATTGCCCAGCGGCACTCACGGGAATGGGCACCACTTCTGCGTTTGTGGGTGCGTACATTTTAGCGGGAGAGATTGGAAGGCATTGCGGACGAGTGAGAGGCGCCAAGGAAGGAAATACCAAAGATTGCCTCCCTTTGGCGCTCAAGGCTTACGACGACAAGTTTCGACCGTTCATGAACCAGGTGCAGAAGGGGGTGGGCGAGAACACGGACTCCTGGCCATCGACTCCACTCGGGATCACCATCATGAACTGTATCTTGGGAGCAGCTTCACTGTTGAGGATCAATATTCTAGGCAGGTTCGTTCTCAAAGAAGATGTGAAGGGCTGGGACCTCCCCGAATACGATGAGTTGCTGCGGGATTAGGCGCCGAACGGTAGCGTTGTCTGAAACAGATTTTTCATTGATAATTCTCCACTCCCGTAACCAGCGATAGAAAACTAGAACGTTGACTTAATAGATTACAACATGCAGGAGCGGTGTTCAAAAATCTCGCACCGATGTATATCGCCTCATTTTGTTATCCATTCACTCCCGTAGCAAAGCCACAGAGACCGCACTCATGGCCCTCGCCATGGTGTTCTCGATGTGGTAGAAACAAGAATCCACAAGCCAGAATAAACCAATGGGATCCCGGTTTCCGAAGCTGGACTTGGCGTTCACTCGAGGAAACTGGCCAAGCCTGGGAACATCGACATCCTCGATATCGAGGAATGTTAGGAGCTTCTCCCACCGGGCGTCTCCCCGAGTTGCGTTTTTCCCGACCTCCTTCGGTTCGTCAATGAAGAAGGTCAAGAGCCTATCCTCTTCACCCCTTGCCGAGAAAAATTCAAGGGCATCTTCGGTGTGCCGCTTGTAGGTTTCCAAATACGCATCGGGGCAGTCGTCTGCTCGTAAACATCCGTAAATTTCCGCATGGCCTTCCCAGGCTCTTCTCCTCGTGTGAGCTTGTATGCTCCTGAGCCAATCGTGCTCGTTCTTCCTCAAGCTTAAGATGAACCTGGCTGATGGGAATTCGTCTGCTAATTCGCGATAGGCGATACACCAAGGAATATCCTCGAAAGCGTCGAATTTGTCGACGTGACGCTTCAATGCCTCGACATGGCCATGTATGTAGGCGTGATAGAGCCAGCGTGAGCGAATGTCCTCCCACCCAGATCTTCGATATCCGAGTCCAGCTAGCGCGTCCCCAATACTTGTTGTTCCGGTTTTGCTGAGGCCGATGACGAAGACCTTTGGTCCAATGCTGGGAGACTGGCTGCCGCTGAGTGAGGTAATAGGTGCCCAGGACAAGTAACCCAATGCAATTGCGAGCAGCAGGAAAACGAGAGAAGCCATTCGGAGCAGCGAGGAACTCAGCCCTATGGACGGGATCATATCCCCGCGAGTGGTCATGATGCCAGCGACTCAATCGGTTCAAGGAATACGATGAAGAGGGTACCAATTGTGATGCGAGGGGTGAGTGATTGACTAGTTGGAGACAGAGATTCCCCCCGAACATTTCGAGAGCGGCACTTCGGCACTTTTTGTTCATACTACCAGTTTGCTTTCGTTGAGTGAAATCTTGGCTCTATACATGAAATCTAACAGGGGTCGTTGACGCCGAGACCCACGAGGGTGACAGGTCTCGTTTGATAGGTTCGCGTTGCCGGCGCCAAAGAGCTGGGGCCGGCGCCGTGCCGTCCTCCGAACTAAACATGGTGAAATGGCGTCACTAGATTGGTGGTCCATTGCCCCGGGTTTTGTTTATTTCATTTTCTAATCACCCGCAATCTGTTGGCGTGGAATCTCTTGATAGGTGTGCCATTCGAGCAAAACATCCATCCATCTAGTGTTATAAGACGGCGTGTTTAATGCCAAGCCACGCCCAGACCAGCACCAAGTATCTCACTCGCTATCGACTTTACGGTGCGATCCGGAAAGGATTTTAAGATCCTATGTACTCGACCGGACCTCCACATTGGTTTCGGTTCGTGAACGACAACCTTAAAGTCTTTCCCTTCCCTCTCATCACCTACTAACTATTGCGGGAATACCCTGTTAGTACGATAACGGAACGCGGAGCAACATCCGAACTTGAGGTGGGACTCTGGCTAGACCCTAATTCTCCGAAATGACGGATGGTCGGTAACTAACATGCCAATATGGGGATCAAGTCATCCATTGTAATGTCTTAGTCAAAAGTCTACGATGCAGGCATACGGAGTTCGAGTCTCTTGGCGCCTCTACCGGCCCGAACCGTTAACCTTTAAGCGTTGTTTCGGTGAACTGGACATTACATCGCCTCTCGCGACTCCATACCTCCTGCCCGAACGCGTATCGTGAGTGCAGAGTCTACAAGTACTACTGTAAGTGGGCAGTACACTATACTATATCGCGTTGGAAAAATTAGAACCGGCCCTTCTGCCCCCGCTTCTAACTAGCCGGCCTGGAGAGGGGAGATCTTAACGTGGGGGGGCTGTTGACGATGGAGAAGGCATATTAAGAGCCAAAATCGTTGTGTATCGGAGGATGGGATGACCGCAGCAGTTCAAGCCCTAAACCTGACGACAGCCAAATTTCCACGGAGCACGGAGCTATGTTGAGCATTTTTATCAGATTCCTTTAACTGGACTAGTGCCAACGATGGACCTGAGACTAGAGGACAGATTTGCTCTGGGGCACTATCCTGACCGCCGATGAGTCAACGTCCCGTGTTCGGGGAGAACGTTGAATGCGTGCGATCAGGGTGTTTCCGCGGCGTGTGCCTCCTTGGCATTAGGTTCTCATAATATTTTCCAAGTCTATACTTCGTATTGTGCAAGTATTTGCAATTTGTCCATGGCTTCCTTCCTCCTCGGCTTCGTTGTTGGTGTTGATTTGATTTCTTGTTGAGGCAGGATGGCGGGATGTAAGACCTAGAGGCGGTGATAATTGATGCTACGTCCTATCTAGGGCAAGGGCATGGTGGGAACCTAAAATTCTGCAGAGAGCATGACCAAGCTCTGGCCGATCTAGTGAGCTTCGTGCAGTTAGCGTGAGGTAATCCTGGGATAAGCCATTGTTGCGGTTGTATCAATCATCAATCTCGTCAGCGATTAATCAAGCTGTTACTTATTCTCTCGCCTTCAGTTATATTCGATGCATCACAATCTATTATTTATGTCTGTCTGTGTAATGTGCGTAATGCGTCAGCTCGCAGCTGGGAGATGCACCTCTCTTCCATAATCATTTCCAATTATTCCAATTACCAACTTCAGCTCGTGTTAATGGTGACAAGCTTTCATGGTTCGGTAGTTAGGTGCAGCTCTGACGCACATGGCCTTTGTCCTGAGACATTATCACTTCTGCTTTCACATAGCTTAGATAGCATTCCAGTGCGCAGCTCGGACCTGCCCCTGGGTATCCGGAACCTGTGGGCACCTGGAGTGCGTCTAAAACACGCTGGGCGTGGGTGATAGGTCGGAAACGGCAGCCCAAAAGCTTAGCTCGCAAATTTATCAGACATTATCCAATCATTACTGAATTCATCCTGGTTAGCCACCTTCGTGGTAGAGAGGAGTGGAGAGCACGAATGGATTCACTTCATTTCCGTCAACACTCTAGCTCTTGTGTCTATTCCTGATTCTTCATGATCATTGGTAATAGCTGATGCAACGGGCCAAAGTTAGGGAAAGCTCCCCCCGCGCAAATCCGCGCCAGCTCACCGATAAGCCCACTGCCACCGTGACTGCAAGGGGGCCAATTTGGCTTTTTGTGTGGGCCGCATCGTCGAAATATTGGGAACCGATGGAGCCGAAGTCGCAAGCTACCGCAAGGAGGGTATAAAGCTCCTCGTCCACCTCTTCCCCTCCCCCCTTCTCTTTCCACATAGCTCGAAGCACTCGGAAACCCTAACCGCTACCATTCTCTGTGTTTCCCTTCAAACTCCGCCCACTCTCCAGAACTCCCCCATACAGACTCCTCTCGACAAACCTCATTCATCATGATCCCCATTCCCAAGGCTGACAGGCTCCACGACCTCTTCGACCTCAAGGGTCGTGTGGTCGTCATCACTGGAGCTTCTGGCCCTAAGGGCATGGGTATCGAGGCCGCCCGCGGATGCGCCGAGTACGGCGCCGACGTCGCCATCACCTACTCTTCCCGTAAGGAGGGTGCCGAGAAGAACGTCGAGGAGCTCCAGAAGGAGTACGGTGTTAAGGCCAAGGCCTACAAGCTCGATGTCTCCGATTTCGACCACGTCCAGCAGCTCGTCAACGACGTCATTCGTGACTTTGGCAAGATTGATGCCTTCATTGCCAAGTAGGCCCCTCCCCCTCCCCCTCCCCCTATTTCTCCATGTTTCTTTTTTTTTTTTCCCGTTTCTACCCCTCCTTCCCTCTTTGCTTTTCTTTTTTTTTTTTTTTTTTTTTTTTTTTTTTCTGTTTCTCTATTTTCCAAACACTAACCAATTCGACAGCGCTGGTGCGACCGCCAAGGGTGGTCTCCTTGACTGCCCCAAGGAGGACTGGGAGAAGGTCATCCACATCGACCTGACTGGTACCGCCTACTGCGCCAAGGCCGTCGGTGCTCACTTCAAGGAGCGCGGCACCGGCTCCTTCGTCATCACCGCCTCCATGTCCGGCCGCATTGTCAACTACCCCCAGGAGCAGGCCTCCTACAACGTCGCCAAGGCCGGCTGCGTCCATCTTGCCAAGTCTCTCGCCAACGAGTGGCGAGACTTCGCCAGGGTCAACTCCATCTCGCCCGGCTACATCGACACTGGTCTGTCCGACTTCATCGATGAGAAGACTCAGAAGCTCTGGAGGGACATGACCCCCATGGGCCGCAACGGTAACGCCAAGGAGCTCAAAGGTGCCTACGTCTACCTCGTCAGCGATGCTAGCAGCTACACCACTGGTGCCGACATTAGCATTGACGGTGGCTACACCGTCCGGTAAATTGCTGGAATGCGCAGAGGATCTGTGTGGGGAGTCTGGGCCCTGTTCGTCTAGCTTGTTTCGCATGTTGACATGGGCTTCTTTCTTGCCATCCGGATATCATCGAGACGGGCTAGCTAAGGGCTATTCTCAGCGGGATGCTTGGCGACAGAGACTGGATACATTTCTTACTTAGGAAAAAGGAGCTTATGAAAATAATCTATATTAATCATGACCATGGGCGTAGGCCTTCCCGAACCAAATGTGAACATTGGTGAATGAATTATAGGGTTCGCATCCCTGTCTAGAGTTTAGACTTGTAGACAGTCTAGCTGTAAGAATGCTTTGCATAGGTCTGGGCTTCGATTATGACGTAACGTGGCGGAAGAGAGCTTGGAGCTCCATTGAGCTTCATCAATCCGACAGAGGCGTTGCTATATCGGGCCTAGCCAGGGGCACACGGACGTCTCTTCCATGTTCTTGCAGTTTTCAGTTACAAATTTCCTCGAATATATCAAACAGTTGCTGCAATGTATCTATTGGACTCGTGTTCTATGTGTTCTCTTGGATGAAGCGGCTATCTGGACTTGCCACACCTGGCCCGGAAAAATCTCTAGCTACTTGTACAAACCGCCACTTCCTCAGAATCACAATGGCGCTTGTGATAATAGTAGTCGTCGGGCGAGGAGAAAAGAAGGAAAGAGAGAAAGAATATTATCCTCAAGAATGGGATTCTTATAGGCTTGGATGTACCGTATGCGAGTATTCTCTAAAGCAGGATATTGGGCTCTCTGAGATACATACATTAGCGAAACCACTCCCTTGAGAGAATGTCTGGGGACTCCACTGAACATCACAATCTCTTGTTCCCATAAACCGTTGCATCCCGGTCCTCGCTCGTCACTGGTACTTTACTCGATTGAATTTGGTTGCAGATCATAGAGAGCACATATCATTTTATGGGTATTCCCTTGCATGGACTCGGTAGAATATTGAGGAAGTGCCTCAAGCCTCTCGACCTGCAGCAGCGCCACGGTGCTCACTTAAAGTACATGACTCGCCCATCATCCACCCTAGATCAATATTGCTAAAAATAGGCCGGCATGAGTGGGACGATCAGTCCAGGGTGTGTCCCTCAAGGGTGTCTCTGTTGTAATGGTGTTGGGACAATGGGTTCCTGGCCCATTGATGTAACAATATTATTCCGTCAAGGCACATTTGAGTTGCATATATCCAACGCCACATCCTTGGTTTTTTTTTTTTTTTTGCGCTTTATACGACCTGACTACAGTGTGTAGATGTTAGTTGTCCACGGTTGAGGGATGGCAGGAAGTGCAGTCAATGGACTAGTTTTCCCGCCTGTCTCCGAGAAAATGTAGTTAGATGTAAATGCCACGTCCTAACAGTCAGATTCCCAACAACAATTGCCATCTCCATTGCTTGCATTTTCCTGCCTGCGTCCTGTCATACGACCTGGTCGGTCTGTCTCACAGCCGTATTATTAAACCACTTGCAGGGGACCTCATATCGAGCATGCGGGTTTCATTGCATGTCCTCGGCGGCTCACCGACAGGGAAGCTAGTGACGGGGAATACTCCCTCCGTCTTGGCTTTCGTTCGTTCTGTAGCAGGCCTTGTCAGGCAACTGACTCGGTCTTTGTCGACGCAGCCATGCAGATCTTTGTTTTCCATAAGCAAGGGGGAGACTCTGGAGCTCGAGCAAATTCCCAATATATAAGGGACACATCCTCTCTTGAAGGAATCGCCCCAAGCTTCGATCCAACCAGATAAAAGGAGAAGAAACCTAAGAACATTGTGTCAACCTCGGCGGTCAACAAACCCGAACCTCTCCAAGTTATACAAGCATCTCGATCGTTCTATTCAAAATGATCTTCTCCGGCGGCGCCATCTCCACCATCCTCGTCCTCGCGGCAACGGTGACAGCAATCCCGACATCCCTACTCCCTGTTGATGGAAGGGAATGCTGTTGCTGTAATCCTTCGATCCCCGCCATCGTATGCAGCTCCGCCACGAGCGATATATGTATATGCCCGGCTGTTGCCTGCCCGCCCACCGCGCCGAAGATGAAGAAGTGCTGCTGCTGCGACGAGTGCTCCATCATCCCGTACGACAAAAATTGCTACTGTCCGGCTGTCGTTTGCCCTGTGACGGCCGTATCCCCTTAGGATATGTCAAGGCAGATTTCCGATGAGTTGGGGGAGACGGTGGATGTGCAGAGTATGTGGCTTTTGAGTGGTTTCTAAGGGACATGGGAAGAGGAAAACGATAACGGGGATACATACTTCGCATGTATACCTTCTGATACGCGGGCGGTCATCTTATGTGGTTGAGTAAATGTAATGGCAATTCAATCCTTTTTGTTATTTTCCACGTCAATCGAACTCCGTGATTAATATGAACAGAGAGAACAATAATTGGCACGTTGAAACCTCAACCCCGACCTCGGCTTCGCGAGTCCGAAATCCGCGGGTAGTTTGTGAAGTATCTATTTGCTGAACCAGGCATAACAATTGCCAACTCACTGGGGTGAGCAGAAGTCCTAGGGATGAATGCTTCCTGGTTGGATGTTGGGACAGCGGAACGACTTCTGGGTTTGATTATGGACGGATTTGATCCAGTACTCAGGGAGGTAATTCTCTTTAGAAGTTGGATGCGAAGGTAGGTCGCATTTGACACGGCTTGCGAACCGAGCAGTCTTCGGCGAGTCCGAGAGAGACTAAAAATCACTCTTGGCCGGACAGCGTCTTCATTGTGGCTTCATGGAAGGTTGTCGCATTCTCCTAAGTTCCGTTCCCCAGATTTTAGGTCGGCACCTGCAATTTTGACGGTTGACAAATTGGTGTGACCTGGCAGCAGCGAGCTTTAGGTGAGGACGTATCCGTATCTAGACGGAGAAACTGGTGGAATCGGTGTTAGCTAGTCCGTCCATACTCTAACACCCTGGGAAGCAGCGTGACTTGCAGCATTGGAGCAATCTCATTCTCAAATCCCTGTCAAAGTGAGTGCTAAAGCAAAATTTGATTCTTCAGAGTGAAATTCAAGGAGACGTCAGGATCAGGAGCGTTACATATCATAGGATGAAATTTGATTTTCTCATCCTCACTCATGTCTGCGGAATGGCGGTGCACACGGGCTGATCCTTCATCAACCCTACGCTGCGACCCTCCTAAGTTAGCGCCTACCACTCTCTGTGGGTCTGGAAAGAAGGTTGGCGAATTACCATGCTCATGGGGCTTTTGCGGAGTGAATGATTACCCGGAGTGTTGGAACGGGAAGCAGGGGTATCGACAGCTAGAAATTAAGGCTTGGCACCCTGAGTTTGATGGATGGATGGGTTTGGCGATAATATCCATCTGGCCCCGGTGAAGTTCCTCTCTCTTCCTTTTACCAACTATGCGTCTCTCTCAGCTCTTCACTCTGGGTCTTGCCGCCACGGCACTTGCCCACCCAGTGGCCGATGTCGAGGCCGATGTCTCCAGCCAGTCCACACCCTTGAGAAGCGAGCGAGTTACTTCTATTCTTGCCAAGTTGTCGCCAGCGCGCTGAAATACAGGACCTGCCCGAGCACCAGCTGTGCGGCCGTCGGTCAATACCCAAACGGCAAGATTCTCAAGACCACTAAGACCAGCCTGGATCATATACCGTACGTGTAGCCCTTGATAGAGAGAATGATCCCTTTCCCTTGTTGACTCGATATGGTTCTAATATATTCACAGGACCTGGATAAAACTTGCGAACGGCTACTACGTTTTGGCGATGTATTGTCTCCCTGTCTAAACAAGGGGCGGAGAAGGATACGGCGATGCGGTTTCGGAAGTCGATTCTCTTTTATACATAGGATTACACGTTTGGTATGTACTGGAGACCCTTCAATGCAAAGAAGCACACATCTCCCGCCGTAATACTCCTTGTGTAGATGCATCGCGGATTCGTGTGTAAAAGAGTTTCGACGCTGCTTAGATCACAAATACTACACGAAATCCACAGAGCTCGGACTGGCGCCTCCCGACTCCCGACTCCGATCCCTGGCTGCGCAAGTCCCTGATTTTATTACATCCGGCCCTAAAGTGGTTTGTCCTCGAGGTTCTCGAAAGTTGTTGGGCGTAACTGACGGACAGCATTTCGTATTTGAATACATAGAACTATATTCTCCTTCCATTGCAGAGACAAGTTTCTTTGTTTATAATAACTAAGAGTTCGCCAAAATCGACATTAATGGCTGTCAAATCAATGATAAACTCTCAACGACTGTGAGTCCGATGTTAGACTTGGAAGGTGATGAGTCTAGCGTGCCTCAAAGAGGAAGCTGCAGAGCTTATATAATAGCATCTACACAACGGGTATTGCGGGTAGATCGGACCTTAAAACCCCTCTTGAGAGATGGAGTGACTCCATGGATATCTCCCTTTCTCCCAAGGTGTCCGAAATCAAAGAAAACTAGACGCTGCTAGACCAGCGTCGTTTCAAACATCAAATCTTGTCTTCCGTCTGACTCACCGATGAGTGACCTCTTTGACCTTGACGTTCAAAAGGCTCGGCTCTCCCGCCGTAGCCAAGCCACGCATCCAGACGAGCCAACACTTCCGCCTCTCACCACCCTCCGCGCCGCAGAATCTACGCTGCCAGACCCAAACTCTGCGGGCTATTTGTCCGGCGGGTCGCAAGAAGATACCGTCAAGCACATCGTGCGCGATATCATACCCGCCCTAAACGGTCAAGGCCTCTCGCCTCACTACTACGGATTTGTGACCGGTGGGGTCTTGCCCATCGCCGAATGGGCCGATAATGTTGTTTCTCGCATGGACCAGAACGTGCAGGTGCATCTACCGGACCAGACCATCGCGACGGCCCTAGAAGATGCGACGTTGAAGATGATCATTTCACTCTTGAGACTCGGAGATGCGGAGGCATGGAAGGGAAGAACGTTCACGACAGGTGCGACTGCGAGTAACGTGCTGGGATTAGCGTGCGGGAGGGAAGCACTTCTCGCGAAGAGACTGGGATCAGGGGAAAGTACCGGCGAATTGGGGCTACTGGGCGCATGCTTAAAAGCGGGCGTGACGGAGGTGCAGGTTCTAACTAGCGGCGGGCATAGTTCTCTGAGCAAAGCCGCCAGTATAGTCGGGCTCGGAAGACGCTCGGTGAAGGAGCTGCGGGCGGGTGAAGACGTGCCATGGCGACTCGATCTCGTGGCCTTTGAGCGGGAGCTGCAGAAGACGGGTACGCTGAGTATCATTTCAATAAGCGCTGGGGAAGTGAACACTGGCCGATACGGAGTGAATGGAGTTGAGGAGATGAGAAGAGTGAGAGAATTGGCGGACAAGTATGGAGCCTGGATCCATGTCGATGGCGGTATGTTTTTCTTGCATTTAGGCTGGATTTCCCAAAGTACTAACAAACATGATAGCTTTCGGTATATTTGCTCGTGCTCTAGAGGCCAAGCCAGAGTATAAAGTTGTCAGGGAATACGCAGAGGGCCTCGAACTTGCTGATAGTATCACGGTAGATGGACACAAGTTACTCAACGTAGTAAGTTCGCTTGACGCCCTGGGAAACAAACCAGCGACTGACTCAAGCGTTAGCCATACGATTGTGGTATGTTCTTCACCAAATCACCCGAAGTCTTGCAATCCGCCTTTGTCAACCCGAACGCCGCCTATCTCGCGTCTGGGTCCCAAGCGAGCATCCCTTCGCCGTTGAACATTGGTATCGAAAATTCGCGACGGTTCCGCGCCCTGCCTGCTTATGCTGTGCTTTTGAGTGAGGGTCGATCGGGAATTTCGAGCCTCTTATCAAACATGACGGACCTCTGCCGACGGGTCGCTGGATTCATTCAGCAATCAGAGCATTATGAACTATTGCCCGACGAACAGGCTCCCCTTGATGAGATATTCATGATTGTCCTGTTCCGAGCAAAGAATAAGGAATTGAACGGTGTTCTCGTTCAAAAGATCAATGATACAAGAAAAATATACGTAAGTGAGACGAAGTGGAAGGGCGAGAAGGCGGTGCGGATAGCGGTGTCGAATTGGATGGTGAATGTGTCCAGAGACTTCGATGTGATCTCATCGACCTTGAATGCGGTTGCAGATGGGAATGGAGACGATTGATATTGTGAGACGAGATTCATTAGGAAAGCCCGGTATTAGCCTATCCCCAACTGTGGCTCCAAGCCGGAGCGAATTTGGCCTGTGCCTAGATGCACTACGATATCAAGTGTATACCATAATTAAACCCCAAAGACTCATGTCTAGCCACCGCGGCTGGGGTTGTATTTGTGTTTACTAAAGCAGAGAAATCTCCCTAAGCCTCAGACCTAATAAACCCTGTTGCTGAAAAAGACACCATGAGCCTTGGGTTTGACGAGATTACTTTGTACTTTTGTTGGTGTTGTGCCAACAGCAAATCTGAAGATAAAGACGATGTGGTCGTCTTGGTGTTCGCAGTTTCTCGATTCTTCCCCCTGTGAGCTGCTGCGCGAGCTGTCCCCTGACATCCGGATACTCCCTCACCCACTCAACTTAAGAGCGTTCGAACTTATCTCGTGGCACCCTTCGAAACTAAACTGAGTAAACATTTATTCATTTTACAATAATTTCATGGTCTGCTCAGGACACAAGAACCCAAGTTCCATCCTCACACTTTCCGGCAGAAGCAAGAGAACTTAATAGGGACGTCAGTTATTTTCTCCAGAGTTTCGATCTTAGCGCGGACCACCTCTCCTTCCTCAGTCCGACCCAGCCTCTGCAGACATTCATGGTAGCCTTTCAGGCTCCAAATATTGTCTGGGTGCTGGCAGGGACGTGGAAGGGAATTATTTAGTCCTAGGTCGGCCTCGTAAACGGCTAGGGACTCTTCAACGTGTCCCTGTTCAAGCAACAGCGCCCCGAGCGCGTGACGCGCCGGCTGCATCCATCCCCAGGGCTCGTCGTAAGGGAGCTCGTCGTCTAGCGCCACCGCTTTGCGCAGGTGCTGGAAGGCCTCCTCGTAGAGTTTTTCGCGATACTTCATCTCACCAAGCATCATCTCGCGGGCAACCGCCAGGATGTCGGTGCACGTATTGTTGAAGAGGGTTCGGCTTTCCTGTACGCGTGAAAGCGCGGCATCAAACTCGGTCGCACATGCCTTGGCATCTGGGATGTTATCAAGGACACTATGAGCCACCGCCTTGGCATACCAGATCATGGCTGTCGTGACGCTGAATAAGTTCTGGTCGGTGGGAAGTTCTTGAGCGATGATCTCATCCCAGCGGCCGAATCGGACCAGTACGTGCTGTTTGACGGAGATGAACGACTCCAGCCAGTCTGCCATCGGTGGGGATTCAACCCTCAGAAGTTCCTCTGGCAGGGTTTCTAACATCTCGTTGGCGGTGGTGATTGCGGTTTCGTACCGTCCCGCGAACATGGCACCGTAAATCTTGAAGTGGTAATCATGGCATCGATACAACGAAAAGAAATTGAGCGGACCCCTCTTGGCGAGGAATTTTGAGTCGGCTTCGATTGCGGCCGAGTTCGAATCGATTGCAGAAGCGTAGTCTCCAGTGAGCACATCTATATGGCTGGGCATGTGGTTCAGGTGGCCTGCATCTGGAACAAGATTCCGCAGCGCATTGGCCGCCGGAAGCGCACGTTCGGGGTTCGGTGACATTTCGATGGCGTGAATATACAGGTGCAGGATGCCCGGATGGGCTATTCCCCCGTCAGAATTTATAGCCTTCTCGAGGACATCGATAATCTCCTGCGTATCGGCTCCACTCGCGGCAGTTCCCGTGTTGATATCCCACAGCTGCCAGGGAGTACGGTTCATCATCGCTTCGGCAAAGACGGCGGCAATCTCCAGGTTGTTCGGTGATTGGACGTAGGCCTTCCGCATCGCGGCAGCGAAGTCATCGACCCACTTTCCCATATCGTCGCCGGGCGACTCGGCCTGATACCTGTAAGGTAGCGCCTCTATCAGGAGGCGCTCGTTTTTCAATGCGCCCTCACGAAGTTCCATCGCCTTCTGCGTCGCCTCAAACGCCTCTCGGATCGAACGCGCGGCGTCTTCGGGGTCGAACGCGGCCCAGGGCTTGTTGTAGTTACAGCCCAGCACGTAGGCGATGCCCCAATAAGCCATTGCACAGCGGGGATCGGCCGCAAGTGCGAGCTTGAAACATTCATGGGCTTCCTGATGGTTGAAGGCATAGCAGAGTACGAGGCCACGATTGAACCACACCTGCGCCTCTGGTGAGGAGGTGGTGATTGTGGCCTGGTAGGAGCCGAGGTTAAAGTAGGGCGGGTCCATCTTTTGGCGCGGTTGATTAGTTTTTTGTAGTCTGGCTATGCTTGTCGAAACCGGGATTCGTGCCTGCCTCTCATTGAATGTGAGAACACTGTGAGGTCTTCAGCTGAAAGTCGCATGATCGATGCGGCATCAACTGAATCATCCACGACGAAGGCGAGTGGCATCACGTGATAGCTGCTAACGTCGATCGGGGTGCTCCTTCCCATCTTTGGTATCGTCAACCATCCTGCTTGACTCTAAGTGGGAGACGGAGCGAATCAGAGAGCGAACCCAGCTACTAATCCCGATCCGCCACTGCATCGCTTCCCATCCTCACGTGCCACATTTCAGTCCTTAATGATGCGGACTGAGCAAAATAGTCGGCGGAGAGCAATAGCCAGGGGTGACGATCCATGCAGGATCACTTGAGGCAGGGCAATTCAGTCCATCTGCCAACGGGTGGTTGCTTGGAATCGACGGGCTCCTGTAATCGTAGCGACACGTATCGCTATCTATAACGTTGGACCTGTTGGGTGGAGCGGAACTGTCGAGTCGACTGGAGATTGAGACGCCTTAGGTCTTTTGCATGGTATTATTGCGTTGGTCCTTTTGTCGAGTTGAACCGTGAGCTCCCCTGATCCCCTGAAGGCTCGAAGATGAGGGGCTGGACTTCACTAATGTCTTGGTGCCTACCGCCAGCCACAATACATAAGCCTAGTGTATATGTGGCCTATGGACTTCCCGCTGACCAGTCCCAGTTACTATAACATGCTGCCTATGCTTTATGCACGCTTCTCCTCGTGTCTTCCGCCTACTCTCCCTGACTGTAAAAGTGGCAATGTGAACACGGTGCAGAATGTTATTCAGCGTCCCGTCCCATTTCCCGAGATTGGTACGAAACTGCTTGCGTGCTTGTTCTCCTAATGGTCGGCTGGGTGGACCGGCAAACTGGGAAATCTCACACTCCGCCGCGAAAATAATCACGATCATACAAATTCAGCACCGCTACCAAACATGGTCTCCTAGAAAACCAACCTTATACCAGCTTCTCAGCCTGACAGAATGGCGTCTACTTGCTCATGACGTTTCAGGGCATCGTCAAAGGTAGGGTACCGCCCTCCATCTCCATCCGCAAACGCCTCGTACAAGCCGCCAACATTCCTGGAAATCTCAGGCAACTCCTTCTGCCAGTCGGCCCAGTCCCAATTGACTCGCTCCACCGAGTCCGTTTCAAAGTCGTGAACCTTTATCACGATAGGCTCCGTGAAGGCGTTGGCTTGGATGGCGGTGCCACCCGGCGATACCAGCCGGATCTCACCTTTCTCGCCATTGATGGTCCAGACTAGGGGTTCCTCACCGGGAAACGGTTGGCCACGGCGGAAACGGAAGAGAAGCGTAGATCCGTCCTGGACAGTTTTGGATGGCAGGAACGTTCCGGTGGCAATCACGAGATCAGGAACATCGGATTTGATAGTCTGGACGATTTTCTTTGTCTCCCGGTCTTGAATGGGAACACTGGGCCGCTGAAGTTGTACGACTGATTGTAGGTTGCCCACTTCCCCGATGGCAGTCAGAACGGCGTCGAAAACTTACAAGGCGCTGTTAGCGAAGGAAAAACAAGAACAGCATAGCGGCCCAAAAACTCACCATGTGCAAATCCGATAGTAACAACATTTCCACCGATGCTTCGGTCAGCGAAGTACGAGATGAAAGTCGGCAGAATGCTCCTATCATTGGTTCCTCCAGCAGCTCTAACCTCGGAGCTGAGGACCTTTCCAATCCGCCCCTGCTCGAGCAGCTCCCGGATCTTGAGAACAACTGGCGCTACCCGTCCCTGGGTGCCAATCAATGTACGAACGCCTTTCTCGCGAGCCAAGTCGGCTAAATCCCTGGCGTGGTCCAAATCTTGCGCCAGTGGCCATTCGGAATACACGGCCTTTCCCGCCTCGATACTGGGGCGGACTAGTTGGTGGTGCTTGTCAACACGCACGCTGCAGACGACAAGGTCGACGTCCGGGTCCGCGGCCACTGACTGTGGGTCCCCGTAGGCCTTTGTCCCGGGTGGAAGGTTAAAGTCTTTGATGGCCTTTTGCGCACTCTCGATCGAGGAGTTAACCAGGGCGACAATCTCGTATTTGGCCCGTCCCCGAGGCGACAGTAGGTACGGAAGGTGGGCGCCCTTGGCCCAAGATGTTGCAGCGGAATTAGATAGGCCGAGGAGAGCGACGCGGATGGGAGCCATGTCAAGATGTGATCAAGTGATCAGGTGGGATATGTCGTGGATTGTTGAAACCTCGGGTCTTTGTTTCTTCATGATCAAAAGTATGGAACGTAGGATGGAAGATGGGCTCAACTGAAATCTGCCAATCTCGATTACAAATATTGCCATATTTCCAATCCACGCGTCTGATGCAATATGGCGTCTTCCCAGTCCAATGCGGTTGTCCATAGTCTCAAGCCATCAGCCCGAGCTTATAAATCAGTTTTAGCTCTCAGAATATTCGCACAGTATCTACGATCTTGTCAAAACGTGATAGCCTGTATTAAAACTCGTCCCCAACTAAAGGCGATTCTGTTAATCTAAGAAACAATAACCTCCCTTGCAGTGGCACTGGCAACCAAAGGGCCGCCTGAACTGTTGTCGATTATGTAGATATGGCCCCCAATACTCCTCCTCCTCATAGTCGTCATCGTCACATTCGTATTGATATTTCCTAAGGCGCCGGCGTGCCCACGCTGTCCTCCTCCGTATGCGCCCCACCCCACGGACTCGGCGAAGTGGCTTTTGCGCGAGGAGACGTAGAGACTGGATGACCCATTCCCAAGTCACCTTCGGTCTCCGTGGGTGCGGGGGAACGACATTGCGCTCGTACTCGTCGCCACTCACGTCTTCTGGAATTCCCGTACAGGAGCTCTTGTCGTTGCCAGCCGTCCGCACCCACCGCGCACAGCCGATGCACCCATCCTCGTAAGCCTGCCTCATGAACTTTTGGGCGTTAGGTCCCACAAAGAAGAAGAATTCTGTTCTGTGCATTCCTCGTGTCGACCTCTGCTGCGCCGCTATGTCGGACAGCTCGTCGATCAGCGAGATGCATTTGGCAAAATCCGACGCCGCTTCCGCCTCCATGAGGGTATCCCAGGCAATGGATATTTGACAGCGGCTTCTCATCTGGAGGCACGTATCATAGACGCGTGGATATTGAGCTCTGACGTCTTGCATTATTTCCATGAATTCGTCGCAGAAGGCGATTCCCTCCCTCCATCGTTCCTTTTCGATTGCGAGCTTGATTAGTGCGTCGAGTATGCGCGCAGTAACGTCGCGGACATGGTCGGGATCCAACTGTGCAAAATATCCCTTGGCCAGTAGCCGGGAAAGCTCCTGATTTCTGGCAAGTAGGAAATCCCAGGTTGCGTTTTCCAGCCCCGTCTGCATCTTGATGAGCTTGAACTTGCTGATGGCATAGCGCATCCCCTGGATCGCCTCATCCGAAAGCAAGGTCATCCCTCCATTCAAAGATGGCATGGCATCTAGTTTATCGATCACCTCCATCGACTCAACAATGTCGGCCTTCCATACCTGTGTAAGGCGATCCATGAGTGCTGAATGTTCGAGCGATATCTCCAGAGCGTCTCTAACAGCCTGTAAGGGTAGTACTTCCACCGCATGTGTCGAGAAAACCCCATCGTCACAAAGCGCCTCCAGCCGGTTCAGCAATGTGAGGCCCGCTGCGTAGTTTTGCACGCCGAGAGCGTCGACGAGTTCGTCCATAATCCGCACCTCTTCCCCATAGTGCTCGGTGTTGTCGTAAATCAACTCAACCCACGCGGTGTCCTGGCCAAGAGCGGCGCTGAATCGCAGCCACCAATTCCGAAAGTTACCGTCCGTCGTTCTTTCCTCCGCAGCTGCATGCGCCCATGCGCTGAGAATCAGATCGTCTATGAGTCGCGTCTGCGATAATAATATTCGCGGAACACTCGTGCTAAGCGTTCCCCCAACGCGACCTGGGAAGAGAGATGTTTCGTACAGGTAGACTAAGTGGCGCATGAAAATGCGCCGTCTGCAGCGTTCCGCAGCGGCCACAGTAGACTCTGGAGCAGAAGCCTGGCGGAGAATGGTACTCATTAATTCCATGTGGCTAAGAGCCTTCTGGAATTGGTTTGAAGCCAGTGCGTCTTGTGTCATGTTCATATGGCTTGCGCAAGTATCCTCCCAATTCCCAGCTTCATGATCTTGTTCGAGCATCCCTAGGAGTAGCGCTTGATTTTGGTCGGTCTCCGACGTTTCTTTTGGTGGCGGGATAATTTCTCGGCTGAAAAATACTGATTGTTGAAACACGGCGAGGTTTACAGCCTCCAGGTCGAGCGTTGAATTATCCGTGTATTCCGCGAAAACCTCGTTGAGCTGATCCTCAAATGTCTCGTGCTTCGCTTTTGCATCAACCTCGTGATTGAGGTCAAACAAGCGCTCAAGGTGCTCAGAAAGCGTGAATATCGCAGCGAAGCGGTGGAGAAGCAAGTCGCCATCTTCAGAAACTTCATCTGGACTTGTATCCTTTCTTGATTTGAGAATACTATCTATTCCCAACGGCCCCTTGATTGCCTTCAACTGCTGCCAGGCTGCATGACTCTCCTCAAACCTTTTGAGTAAAGTGAGTGAGATGAACTCGGCGAGCTCAAAGTGGCCACGGCAGAGTAATAAAGCCTTCTCGTCGAGGCCGCCCACGCTCAGCGAGGTGAGGAGGGAGGCCCCCCGAGTTGCCAGTTCTAAAGTCTGTTCCCACCACTTCGCATCGGTGCTACTATCGCCGCTACCTCGGAAGGCGAGTGAAAGAAGGCTAACGCTCAGACATCTCAAGTATCCTTCTTTGTCTGCAAGCTGCGGTAGCTTGTACGGCATGAGTTTCAAGAGATCGAGATATTTCTGCCGTATCACGGCCTGCAGTTTCCTTGGCAGATGCGGATCGTCTAGGTCGGCGACCGCGGCAAAAAGCGCCAAGGGCCAATCGTCTGCCTTGACTTCGAATAGGCAAAAGTCTAGCGCGGTGAGTACGTTAAGACCGTTGATTCGAGAGTCGGCATGACTTTCCAGCATGCAGAGACTAAATACCTCTAACAAAGAGGAGAACGTTGTTTTCATCAACACGCGGTTAGAGAGGGATATAAAACTTGATAGATACGCTCGGCCGATTATAGTGAATAAGGGATGGACCTCCAGCACGTTGTCGTCGACGCCGGGTTGAACATAGCCTCTGTCGAGAACAAAAGTGCGAAAGCAATCATTCCAAACCTGTGCCGAATCGCTCTTTCCATGACTAAAGTCCTTCTTAAGATCTTCAGTGGCGATAGAACGGAACATGAATGGAAGGGATGCCATGCCGATAGCTTCTTGCCAGTAGTTGGCGAGGAGACAGAGCATAAAGAAGTGACTTGGACTAAATGTCATGGAGAGGTTGCGAATTTCATTGAACACTGTTGTATGCCTGATATCACCCCAGTCCACATCATCCACAGAGCTGAATAAACCCCTGTGCAAGGAGATAAAGAACTGGCGCCACGAGAGTCCCAGCGACTGTTGTAGTGGAACGACTGAGAGGATTGCTGAGGGGTTACCCTGCAGCAAACCCAAGACACTATCGAGCCAGTTGGCATCTTCATACGTCCACTTTTGTGTGTCGCTGTTGTTAAGTAGCTGTCTAGAAACGACCTCTACTGAGCCCGCCAGCGATAGACCTTGCAGGGTATAATGGTAGGGCCCAAAAGTATGCCCTAGTAGTTGTTCTAGGCCGTTGGGTTTAGACCTTCGCTGTGTGAAGATCATTTTAGTATCCCCTGCTCCTGAGCTAGCCAGTGCTGTCTCTAAGAGCGACCTGATATAGGGAGTGGTCTTAATTGCCTCCGTGCTATAAATGGAGTCAGGTAGGGGAGATATCGGGGCCGGTTCAAGCCCTTCGATAATGATGATGGCCTTGATGGGAGATAAAATTTCAAGTATCATGCGGAGTAGTGAGGTATTGTCATGAGACTGGATACACCTCTCGGGTAGACGCTGCTCTGGGTTGAGCTCAGTAGGCAGTTGGCGGATAAGGCTAGCAAGAAACTCGTCCGCCGACAACTCGCCCTCAAAGGCAAAGTCGATGAAGATGACAGCATCTACGTACTTAGACGCCTTCCATATGGATGCTGCGTACTTGAGAAACGTCGTTTTCCCCGCGCCACATAGGCCTGTGAGATAGACAACCCGCCCTTTAGCGAGCAGTTTCTCGAGTCGTAGAAGATCGAACTCGCGATCGTATACGGACCCGTCGATAACCGCTGGGCAGCAACTACACGAGCCCACACTTGCCCTTTGGCACGGGACAAAAGATGACTGGTGGTCCAATGCTGGATCTGCAAGGGACAAGTCCTTGGCCTCGCACCCATACGACACGACAACGAAATCGTCTTTGACGCGGCGCTTGAGCAAGTATCTGGCGGGGCGCATTGGTGACGAACGGAGAGCCTTTCGGGCCAGAGCGGTTGATTCGGAGATAGACATCCCACCCAGGATCAGAGCCTGGTAAAATGTATCGAGAAAGATGCGCGCCGCGGAATTGCTAATTTTGAACGGCATACCCACGACGGCTTGGACACCGCAACGCATGAATTGCACGGCGAGATTGGCCTCATCCCCATAGAAAGAACTAGCTGACTCGCAAGCGTTCAGAATGACGATAGGGACTCTGTACTTTCCGAGTTGTTTGGCCACTTTGGAACCTAAGACTGGAGAAGTTTCGTCCGAATCTTCGCTTCCAAACATGAGCACGCTCGCCTTCACCTTTGTTTCGGCGCGAGATACTAAACGCATGCTTCCGTGCATGTCAAAGTGAACTACGTGGAAGTAGCCAGGCCCATGAAGCTTTTCGCTCCTCTGCAAATGCTTTTTGAACGCATCCCAGGTGCCCGGTCGGACTATTTCCACGTTGAAGTGCGTGATTTTCCGCCGGTTGTTTCTCAACCGAGACTGAATATTCAGTAGGGTATCAGTGGCTAGAAACGGACTGACATCTTCATAGGTGGACGGATTAATGGACAAATCCCTTGCCACAATGAGAAGGATGTTGAAGGTTTCCGTTCCCTTTTCGCACACATACGAGTTGACTGGCGAGAGGGTCCGCGGCAGGCCTGGCCAAATCGATCTGGTAACAACCACTTCCCACCGGCGATGGCTCCACAGCCCAGGTTCTTCTAGGGTCTCCCAGAGGAGCCGGTGGATGTTGTTGTTAGTGGCTTCTTCTTCCTCTTCGCGACAGATCTCGATGCCCAGGATAACGCCGTCGATGCTGTAGGCTCCTGCCTCCAGCTCCGGTAGGAGAAGCGTCCGTAACGGGATCTGCCGTAGAAGGTCGCAAGGGTACCTCCTTAAGAGCTCTTCGGCATCGGCCGCTTTGTCCATGGAAAAGGGAGAGAATTGAACATATTTTTCTAAGTACCAGCGACAGAGTGAGGCTTCGTCTGGGGAAAGGGGGTCTTGTAGGTGTACATCCTCCAACATTTTGACATCATTTTTCGACACAGTAACAACCCAACCGCCATCATCAGAGCCCTGGGCTGTTATTCTTAGGGATATCCGGTGCGTTTGTGACATTTTGCTGGTCTCGCAGTGTCTCGCCCGCTCCACATTTGTTGAACTGCGAGGAATTTGGGAAATATGAAATTTCATTTCTGGATTTTTCGAAGATGGCGTGGGATAGGTAAGAAACAGTTCTTCCAAACCAACAAATCCCTTTCCAGCCCCCTTTGTTTCGACAGAACCCAGGGGGGCTCATATCCGACATTCACCTTCAGCCACCAACAGATTCCTGCAAGTGGCTGTGCAAACCAATCGCGCACCATCCAGACAAACCAGGGCCGCTGAGGCCTCCCTCCCCCAGTACACTCCCAGTCATCATTTAAAGCCGATATCAAATTGGGACTTGAGTGTGCTGGTGGAAAATTCCTTGTCCGCTTTTCTTTTCACAAGACAGAGGTATCCAAGATGTCGAATAAGAAGTACTTTGTTCTTCAAGATCCCATCCCCGCAGAAGACTTGGAGAGTTTTCCATGTCGCGTTGTCACCTCCAAGATCTCGCCCCTAGACCAGTGCGTCCCAATCTCCTTATCCGGAACTGGAAACCCCTCACGAAGCACCAATGACATCCTGCCGGGGATCCTTCCAAATCCATTGGAATATTCCGTCGAGAATGATATCCTACAGACCTCAGTTGAGCGAGGCATGTCTATCCAACTTTCATCTCTCTTCGGCAGCCACTGGTCCTGTGGTGAGGAGAAGAGTATAACAATAGAGAGCGCAGCCGTGAAAAAATATGCCCTCCATAACCCCGATGCCTATTTCCAGGAGTTGATGAAAGACAAGAGCTACGCCCAAGGAGTGCGGAATTTGCTTTTGAAAGTCTGGCCAAGCAACGCGTACCTCATCACTGGGTTCGTCACTGTGCAAGACTGCAAGCTGAAGATCGAGGAAACAACCACAAAGGGACGGGGTTTCGGCGCTGGGGTGCCGTTAGATGGCCTCGTGCCTAGTGCAACTCTGGTTCCACCTGGGAATGTGGGTGGCGAAATGAATCGGTCCTCGTCAGCACATCGCAGCTACAGTACAACCATTACAGATGAGAGGATCTTCGCCATCTCCTATTCTGCGGTTAAGCTAGCGTATAAAATCGACACTTCATCTCGATCGCTATTCTCTCGGACACCAGCTATCGGCCGTCCACAGAGATCTAAAGCCCACCACCTTGCCATGGGGGAGGACGGTGACCAGGACGAGGAGATCGGCTGCGATTCTGACTCCGACTCTGGTGAGGAGGATGCACCCGCCCACCCGAAGAAGGACCCACAGCTGAAGAGCGAAGAGTATAGCGAGGTAATTATCTATGATGGTGATTACCTTTTCACTGGAGGGCAGCAAGGGGCATATATTGAGTTATAATGCATGTAACCTGTTGGGTGAGAGAGAATGTTACCGAATTTGACATAATGCAAATTTCCAAGTTCACGGCCTGTATCGAGTCATTGGATATATCAATAATAGAATGTGGCGGTGCGGGCGAGGTACGGTTTCACACTTAATCGCCTCACCTGCCTCAGCCAGCTCTCGCCTAGTCTCCTGTAGTTCTCGTTCGTTCCAGGGGGTCAATGGTGATGTGCCTGTCATAGTTTAGCTGAAAGCCAGGCAGGAACCTGGGACGGATGCAAACTAGCGCCATGAGTCGTGTAATGCTTAGCTGAGCTTAGGTCCGAACATGTCTGTACCGGGACCGGCCTGTAGAGACCAGTAACCGCATCACCAATATAATGCGATTAGCCTTAGATGGCGCCCAAAGAGCCAGGAGAAGATCACGACTCTTAGACACCTGTTGACATGTATCCCTGCTCAGCTAGCTTTCGGTATGACTGTCCAGCTCTTACAGCAAATAAAACCAAACTTCTGTCCTTGTCTATTCCTCTAGCAGATGAGATAATTACCTTGAGGCCAACAATGGTTTGTTGGATTTGGCCTCGAGCGTGTCTTCAGCCACTGGTAGCAGCCAGGAACACGGCTCCTCCACTCGTGACAGACCGCTCCAGCAACTCATCGGTTGGCCAGCATCATTCAAAACAGGTTACTGGTATTTATTTGCGAAATGGGCCGTCGCTGTACCTCGGCTGTCTACTCGTAACCGGCGTGTCATTTCAATTGGCGGTGCCACCACCAGGGCTGCTACTGGTAACATTCCACGGCGAGAGTCTGATGCAATATTATGGTGTCTTCCCTTCCCAGTCCAATGCGGTTGTCCATACTCGCAAGCCAGAAACCTGAGCTTACAAATCAGTCTCACTCTGCACAACGGGTGATAAGACATTTTGGTGGGATGTAGATTACAGACCCTTGGGAGAGGCTGCATTAGTTTGAGGCAGTCGTGACTTCGTATAGAGTTGGAAAGGCTTGGGCTGAGCGATAGGGACAAAACGAGATTAATGGGGGGATTCACTTGGGGTTGGGCTTCTGGAATAAGTGATCACAACTGCTCTTTCGACCTCGTCGTCCCATAGATACGTAGACTTTGTCGATTGCGATACCCTGGCGGATACATCCTCAGAACCCCGTCCTCGAATTACTCGAAGAACGCCAGTAATAATGAACGTGTATGACACGCATACCTATGGTTTATCATGACAATGCCGCCTCTGTTACTGAAGATGGGGATGTGTGCAACACTGTGTCAACGTTTAGTCTCTAATTACTTCCAACACCTTTCACTGGAGGAAAATGAAATCCTCCAACAACTTGATCCTCCTTACTCCAGTGATAAGACTCCCACTCAAGTCATAAACCTATTACTCTAGTAGGGAATCTAGGAATTATTACTCCAGATAGCGATATGAAATAACTCTAGAAATACCAGCTCCTTTCCTCTTCCTTCGGATTAGCGGTTGGTCGCTCCATCACTCCCTCTTCTTTGATCCAGTGATCAAAGACATCAGTCAACAAACTATTAAAGGATCCTTCTCTCTGTCTCTCACCCTTGTCAGTCAACGTCTTTTCATCCTTCCATCCTCTTCTTCATCTCAATCCACCACCCAATTGATCCATCACGATGACACAGCCAATAATGGAAGACAGCTCGCCTGCCTCTATCCTCGATCTCCTAAAGAGAAATCCTCGAAACAAGCTTTTCGTCCATCCCCTTCTGTGGACCGAGGTCCATTTGCGGGTGCTTGAGTGTAGATTCACACAAATATCCATCAGCAACGCTGATATGAATACAGCAATTCTTGGACAGGGCTACAGTATCAAGATAACCCTAAGTCAGCTCCAAAGCGGCCTCCGCGATTCCAACTTTTACGTACGGCAAAAGGCAATAGAGGCCTTGATTGCCCAAAAAATTCATGGGCAATTCACCGCCTCACGGTAAGCCAAGCTCAGTCTCCTCAACATCGGACCTGTTGATGATAAATGTTCCTTTGTCGTCACGAGTCCGCCTTCCAGCGCCTTTGGAAGACGTGATGGCTGACCTGGGACATTCATTATGTAGCAATTGGTTGAGTCTTCTTCTGGATGGAAAACCCGTCGCGTCACTGCGACTGCCCGTGTTCTATCACACGAACCCCAAAATGGGAAATGGGGAGCCGATTGTCGCCTACATCGATGACCAGCTCATCGAATGTGATCGAAAGAACCTCCTTCAACCACCGAGTTTTCCCAATCCTCCCCTTTGGGGAATAGCGAGGAAGAGATTGAAGGCGGTTACGCCTGACTGTCCACTACAAGATCCGTACATCTTGGGGATTATGATCGCTCTTGGACAGGAAAAACTACTCGCTCGCCGTAAGGCTATCGCCAAACAACAAGGTCGTTCTCAGGGTTGTCAGGTATCACTAAAAGACTTGGAGGTCACGGTAAGTCTCTACTTTCCCGGTTTGTCTGCGTGTCAACATCTCTCCCTACTCGGGTAGTTCAGCACGCTAACATGGCAAATCTCATCTTAGCCCCAGGTTCTGTTCACAAGCAGGAGTGATACAGACAATGTGTATCTTTATCGGGCCCAGATCAGCTACCACACACTCCAGATGTTCCGTTATCCTAAGCAGGCTCCACCCTCCACAACGCCGCCGATCGAGATCGAAGCCAACAAGATTCCCCTTCGCCCATTTTGTACTTTAAATGCCCGGCTTTGCGCATCGATTGCGCCAGGTGTCACCTTGACCATGTCGAGAGAGGATATGGCGCGCTGAAACCTGCCGCTTGAATGTCTGCGAACGTCTTTCATTGTCCTGGTAGATCTAGCCTACAGGCGGACCCTAAATCAACCTAACCTCGCTTGAGTATCCTCTGTCGGCGGTGAGCGTGATTCCACCTATGAACTCTAGTTTGTAGCATTATCTAACGCCGAGTCTAGACCCAGACCTCCATGTCTTCTTCGATCGAGTTTTACCTCTCCGCAAAAGAACATGAGTGACAGTGAACAACTGGTAGTGGCAATTCAACGGTCAGGTAGCTAGCCACGTTTAGCTGGATTCCAAGACTCAACGGGTACGCTGGCTTTAAGCAAAGTGATGGGAAGGGGGAAGAAGTGTTTTGTTCTTGGGAGTAGGGATAATAGCAGACGCTAGGATACTGAGAGTGATGAATTTCGGCAAGGACAGGATTCAGTAAGAGTGTTTTCATCTCCAGGGCACACCCGAGTCAATCACATTTCCCTCTGTTTACAGATTTCTTGGTTGCTTTGGGATTAGTACTGCCCTATGTTATTAGGTCTCAGATGTCTCTAAAGAAAGGATTGAACGTAGAGGATTAGATCCAGGCGGCCTCAATGTACATTGTTTCCATCTGGTGTTCCTCATATCATAGGCGTCAATGTTCCTCCGCCAATCACTTTGGGAGGAGCCAGAACTGGAGAAGCAGAAATGGTTAATCTTTGATAGACGAGAGATACCACCAAGTCTCACCCACCCCCCGAAACTCGTTCTGGTCCTCCCCTAAATGCAAGAGGTACTGTACGAAAGGTTCGAAAAAAAAAAAAAAAAAAAGGAGAAAAAAAAAGGAAGAAAAAAGAAAAAAGAAACATACAACACCGGGGATTCGCTGGTCGTCACCGACCCAACTACTAGTCCGGCGCTTCGCAGCTTGTGTACAGGGGAGCGGACGGGACCCTCAATATTCTGCGAGCTATGGTCGTATGTATTAGTGGCTGTTGTTAGAAGGACTTATAAGCGGAAGTTCGGTTGGAGACAGGCAAGGCGGTCGGGCGGTCGGGCGGGTTAAACTCCGATTCGGGGACGATGTTTTGCTAGGAAAAAGTCGTCGAGTCCTCGCTCGACCATCCCGCCATTCCTGCCACACTTCGCCTCCCTAGAAACAACACGAAAAGGGAGAAAGGTGAGGGGGGGAATGTAAAAAATACAGGGGCTTGGAATCTATGTATGCCATTACACCATCCGTCACACTAATTAATCCTAGGTAAGTCACCGTCGTACATAAAACAATAACCATACTTTACATCAACCTTGCAATTCCCATATTGGACGTTGTGCCGGCGTATCGAGTTGGCGGGGTGGAATCGGCGCAGCCAGCTCGTGCTTGTCCGTAACGCCGTAAGCTTCCACAATCGGGGGGGGATCAACGTTTGGCTGTATTTCGCTAGTGGTATTATCATCCCTCCTCTTTCTCCTCCGAAACACTAAGAATGCTCCTAGGGCCAAGAGAGCAACGCCGAGGACGACCCCGACCGCGATGCCGGCTTTCGCACCCGCTGACAAGCCACCATTCCCCGACGTTTGTTCCGGCTGGCCGGACAATTGCTCTGGCTGGGCGTCTCCCGTCTTGCTTGGTGTACCTTGCGAAACGTCGGTTGTAGACTCCGCGGCCACCTAATGACATCAGACTTGTTAGCGTCCGCCTCCGGACCTTAAGATAGGACGGTCTCACTAGAATGAATTTTATGCCCCAAGCTTCAATCCCCTCGTCTGTCGATGGCTTCCGCGTCACTGGCTGCTCGGTTGGGGTTTCCAGTCCAATATCGGTTATTACGCCAGTCCAAACTACACCCGGCGTGGCTGTCGCGTGACAACCGTACTCGTTGTTTCGACACATGAAAGAGAAGACGTTGTCGGTAACGCTGCGATTGCTGGTAAGCTTTTTGGATGTCGCGTGCATATTGGGCACGTGGGTGTGGATGAGCAAAATGGATGACACGAACCTCGGACAACAAGTCACCGTACTGACCGGTTTCCCATTGCTCTCGGGCCCAGCGGTCGCACAAGCACGAGTGTAACCAGAAGGGCAAGGACCATCTGTCAGGTATGGAACGCCTGGGGTCGTCGACGGAGGGAAGCAATCGCCCGTCGGATAATTTCCCGTTAGCACCGGCGTGGGCGTTCCGTACATGTTGCTGAAATATCCGCTCCCCAACAGCACGCGGAAGTAATTCGTTGTCGCGAAACAGGACGTCGGAGCCGTCCATGTTGACGGAAGACTTGGTAATGATGCTGGTAACGACGACATTATGTGCGTTCGACTGGATTAGTCTCTGAGGAGATAGAGAGTTGACCAAAAAGTATTAGGACATGAAGAAAAGAATTTTGAGTTCACGATGCACAGGAAGTCAACAAGAAAATAAACACGCAGGAAAGTATCCGCTCCGCTGCGTTTCGCTTGCGGAGGAGGCGTCCTTAGTTCTTGTATGGAACAAGCCGAGCGATGGGTGGTGTCAGCCAGGCTTAGCGTCGGCCGCCGAAAGGCAGGGGCTTGTTACATTGGCTTGACAGTCAACGGCCTGGGCTGTTATTATGAGGGATCAACATGCTAAATTCCGAAGGATCAAGGCATGCCACCCTCGGAATTTGGATTTGATCCACCCTTGTTGATCATCATGTACTTCGTACCTCTCCTCTGAAACCCAGGATCAGGGAACAAATCTGGGATCACTCCCATCACAAAAGATCATTACATCCTCACCCCGTTCTTACGGTGTGCAAGAAGAAGGTACAAATTTCCCCAGCAAATAAAGGCGGGGATGAGCATATTCGAATACCATTGCTGGTGAACCGAAGACGGGTCTGTGAGAAGAACCATGTCTCTGGGGAGATACCTCGTATATATATCCGCTTCGCTGATGAAGAAATTGGAAGATATCAAGCGAGTAAGCTTACTGGAATCATTGCAGGATCTTGAGTCGGGTTGCCTAATCCGAACCGATGGGTCCTAAAACGAAAAGGATTTGGCTCTGGTATGGGCCAACACTGATCAGCCAATCAAGGCCTCCATTCCAAGTGTTGCGCCAGTGTTTCCGTGGCCCGCTTTTGCAATCCTGCTTCAAGGTTACATGGGTCCACTGGAGCGCAAACAAGTGGGAATCTGGAGGCCATGCTCCTCGTTGTCGCCTGTTAATTGGCGGAGATTCAATCAGAGGTTGACCGAGCGCAGCAATGCTCCAATGCGAGTCTCAGGGGGGTTGCTGTTTCATCCCTGTAGGGCGCCATCCCATAGCCCGGTCTTCGCCATTTTATTCCAAGGACAATACGAAGCGGAAAGGAGAATAATACGAGGTCTAAGAAGTACAAGTAGTGAGTGACTAGGTTTACCTTTGTACCCCACCCCCAGACGGGAGCAAAGCCACCTTCAGTGACATCGCAGAACTGATGTGATTTGCTGGTGGTGCAATCACAAGCAAGTTAGGCCTGGGCCGATGGGCACCTGATATTACATTCCAGCCTCAGCTTTCAATTTCGTGATCTTTTTTTTTCTCTCTCATCCAACCCCGACCATTTCAATCTTGACGCCGTCGCGGCGACTTCGCGACCTGTTCCCCTCCTTTGATTTTATCACCGATCGAGTCGCCCAATTTTCGTCGCCGACGCAACTAATTAACACAATATGCATCAGCATGAGCGGACATTATCCTCGGGGTTGGCGCAATTACGACATCATGTCACGCGACGCTGGAACAGGAGATTGACAATCGCGGGTGTCGCGCTCTTCATGACGGTGGTCTTATGGACGTACGGCGGTTCAGCGCTGGATATCTCTGGATTACCCCCGGACGATCGACTCGCGCACAAGGATAGCACCGAGAAGACCAGCAGCTATCTACCACAGCCGACAGCAGGGGCGCACGCGATCGAGAATTGCAGATCGGATTGGCGGACACAAAATCCTTCTGCCGACACCGGCTCCCAAATCCCTCAGAAAATATGGCAGATATCGCTGTCGAAACAATCGGCCAAGGACTCTGTCGTGGATCCCGAAAAACTGCAAGATACGGCCTCGTGGCTCGCGATGAATACGGACTATACGTAGTAAGTATTAGTACATGTACCGAGCTATGGGACATTCCTGGATGCGGGGCGGGGAGCTGCGAGAGCTGATAGCATGACGGGCAAGCTGCTATTGACCTTCCGCGAACTGTCTTCCCGAGAACGCATCTTCTGCCTGACAGCAGGAATGGCTAACTTTTTTCGAAACTCTAGCACTCTAGTGGGCGATAAAGGAGGCAAGGAGTTCGTAAAAAGTCGATTTGCTGACGAACCGAAGATCGTCGAGCTGTACAACAGCCTTCCCAACGTTGGGATGAAGTCCGACCTTCTCCGATACCTCATCCTATACGTCGAAGGGGGCGTTTACACCGATATCGACACCATCGCCCTGAAGCCTATTGATACCTGGGTCCCACTGGAGTTGAGGGACCAAGTTCGTATGGTCGTGGGGATCGAGTTCGATCGACGTGATGGCGGTCCGTGGGCGGATATACCCCATTGGCTTCAGTTCTGCCAATGGACCATTGCCGCGGCGCCAGGCCACCCAGTATTCCGGAAAATGGCTGCCCGCGCCCTCGAGTCGATGAACGCTCTATCGGACGAGCATGGTATCCCAGTTAGGAAGCTCAAGCCTACCAGTTTCGAGGTTATGAACTCTACGGGTCCCGCCGCCTGGACGGACGTCGTTTTCGAACAACTTCAGGAGTACGATCCAACCTTGAACACTACGAAGGACTTGTCGTTTATGACCGAGTCGAAACTCTATGGGGACATATTGGTTCTTACCATCGACGGCTTCGGTATGGGCCAGGCGCACTCGGAGAGCACCAACGACGGTAGCATTCCCGAGGTTGCCCTGGCGAAACATCTCTTCCGCGGATCGTGGAGACACGATAACTGATCCGACAAAATTCTCGAACCTTTCAGCCTTCCTTCGGACCGGTGATGTCCTTCCTCTAATATGTCCCTTACTATATACCCTCTTATTCTTTTTCTCTCTCTTTTTGTTTTTTAATTCTTCTTTTTGGTGATGAAAAGTTTCTGCCTTTCTACTAGACTTTCTCAGGCGTCTACTAGAGAAAGCCCCATGAGGGCCAAGATTCGGATACTTCAAAAGAAAACTACGGGGATGAGGTGTTGGTTGAGATTTTTATAAGAGTCAAAAGTTGACGGTGATGATTGAAATGGCGAAGAGGGGCGGGTTTTGCAATTAGGCATGGGATCGGAGTGTTAAGTTCGAAACGTATACAGGAATGTGTCCAGGAGCTCGGGCGGGAATTATGGCTTATTTTGGGGGGTTTTCTTTCTCAAGGGTCCTATGATTCATAGAGTGCGCTCTTGCAGGTATTAATAGTATGTAGTTGCCCGCGCTGAGCCCGGCTCCCCATCCCCCCACCATACTGGGGCGGTAGACGACATCTCAGCTCAGGGGGACACAAAATGGAGTTCGGTCTTGCTGGAGTTTCGTTTGATCTTGAAACTGGCGGTACAGTCGTGGGAGAAAATGTGTTACTCGGTGAGGATTGTTCAGCCAGATTCTTATACACGAGTGCTGCGCAGCGGTTCACACGAAGAGAGCGCATCCATGGCATTACAGACGAAGTTTGATGGAGCACTAAAGCTACACAGACGTCATCTCGTTTCATTTTATCGTTGGAAATCATTCTACCAATATGGGGCCGTTCAGAAGCGGCTGACCTATGAAGTCCCCGTCCTACCAGTCCCAGAACATAGTATCCCCTCGCTAAGGACGAGACTCTACCCCATGATCCTAGACACTAACAGCGAAATTAACATTTTATCCCGTCTAAGCAGAGCAGCTGGGCTCGAGCCAGTCGATGGGGGATTCGAGATCTGCGAGCAACTTGAGTCAGCCATATTATCAGGTCCAGCTATAGTAGGACATTTCATAGTCTAGAACATAGACAAGTAAGGTGACGGGGTTTGGAGCCAGTCAAGAGCTACTTACCCTCGCAGAGCTCGAGACCGCCGAGAATGACATTGTTGGCGCTGGAAGGGCAGAGGCTGCAAGCGCAGCTCTTGTAGGACTCGGCAAGCTCGGGAATCCTGCAGAAGCAGTAGTACATGTCGGGCTCCTGGCAGGACTTGGCGAGAGGGTGGTTCATGACTTGAGTGAAGCAGAGGAGCTGTGAGAATCTCATAGTCAGCAGAGCCTCATGATCTTACAAGTATGGCGTTCATCATGCAGTAAGTGAAGGGGCATGTTGGGGCATGCAGTACCTCGCAGAGAGCGTTGGCAGCAGCGAGAGAGGCCATGGAGAGGCCAACAGCAGCAAAGGCGATCTTCATTGTGACGGTAGGGTGGTAGAGAAGCGGGGGAAGTGGATGCAAGGCTGGGCTGTTAGCTGTGCAGTGGATGGAGGACGATGCTGATGGCTTCAGAAACGGTCTGAGAACTCGGGGGAATAGCAGGCTTAATATAGTCGTTGCCATCCTCTCTAGTCCTCGGTTCGCGAATCAATGGGCAAAGAACCTCCGCAGGCCATTTCGACTTGAACCATCTTCCTGCCATGACCCGCGTCTTACCCGAGAACCTCGAAGCCGTCGACAACACACCATAATCGCCTTCTTCCGCTAAACCACACTGGTTTCGAACCCATCGATTATGGCTAGGGTGATATCACTCCGTGCTATAGCTGGAAGTGGAGAACTTGCGTGCAGAGGTGCGAGTGATTAGTGCAGCCCAGCGCGTCATTGAACTTGAAGAATCGGCTCTCAGCGTACGATCTAGGGGGGAAACGCCTTGTGAATGGCTAGGATCGCCAGGGTCGTGCTGGCCTGGGCAGTTCTGGTGCATGGTGAGTGGATGCCACTAGTGAGAAGCTACTGAGAAGAGGGGAACGCTCCGAAAATATCACTAATCTGATCCAATCTTATCAGATTATCTGATAATCTACCCGCCCCCTTCTCCCAGTGGCCTGCGTGTCTCCTCCTCGCCCATGACCACTTCCACCCGAGCCTCCCGGGTTCCCGCTATTCTTCTGTGCACGGTATGCCTAGAGAGGTTAGCGCAGGCCTCACGGACCTTGGAAATATGTAAAAACGACGCTTTTTTGCTTTCTGTTCTCACACTAGCCAGGGCATAAGAACGGGAAATGGACAGGGTCCACTCGACTTCCACTCGTGTCTGAAGGACATTGGCCAATCGCTATCAGGGGGTTGTGGAAAAAAGTGCGAAGAACGTGGCGCCGGGATCGGAGAAGCTTAACTCGCTCTCTCAGGCAGGCTTGGTGAGCTCGTTCATCTCGCCATTTTCGACTTGTAGTGCAGACAATTGACACAAGCTCTACCAAGAGCCACCGGACCATCAGAAGGGGGGGGGGGTTGAAAGGTCCAAAGTAGCGACTACAACAGACTAGTCGATCTTCTGAATGTTTAAGCCCATCACTTCGCGGCCAATTTCCGACACATTCTCTGCTGCTCGAGCGTGAAATTCGTTCGGCGCATAATGATCTGCTCTCTCCACAAACCACACTGCTGGGTAGACTCGTTTCCAACTCCAAAGCCTCGGGAGTCTCCACCCCATCCTGTATAGAAAAACCCTTTGGAGTCATCTGACAAGCCCAGTCCCACAAAACCCTCGCCGAGAGGCAGCATTGCAGACGAAGCTGCAGATATTTCCAACCGAGCTCTTGCCATATCCTAAGCGAGCTTTGACTGTTGGGGGTGGGGTTAGATATCCAGGCCACCTGGTTTCAGCGTCACATCGCCCTCGTGGACAACGGTTGAGCCACCAAGCCCTGATTTTCAACTGGCGAGTTCCGAAATGCTTGTGACCATCTACCCAAAGCAAAGACCCCGATTCAATTTTTCCTCAGAATCAGACCATTGTTGACCTCTAGATTAACCACATCTATCACTATAGCGGATGTGCTTCAGGCAGGAGTTGCCGAGGGCTATCAAATCTCCAAAACCATTCAGTGGGTTTCGAAGACCTGCCAGAATCTGCTCCTTCGACAAACCGTCTCCGCCACGACCAACTGCAGCTCTAGTTTATGAACTGCATTGGAGAGGTCGCAGTATTAACTTCCTAACCACTAACCTAGAGGATTCAACCAAACTCGTCGCTGGTAGCCTTCTCAACAACAGCAACTCTTGGCATGAGCTCCTGCATCCAAGCCGAACGAATGGAGAAAAAAATCACCTGTCAAACCTACTTCATGAGTGACATTCTTCTTTGCTTCGCCGCGTTCATATCCTCTTTAGCAGGAACGCCGGAGCATGTCCTCCATTTAAGGAGTTCCTGCTCCGCCTTCGTGATGCGGAGAGTATTCCGCACTCCCCCAGCGCGGACCACTGAGGAAACTTTAGTGTATTCCAAGACGTTAAAGCAGATGTTGCCTGCGGAGTATTACGTCTAGGCATGAAAGAGGGCTCACGTGAGTATATTTCCTCCCCCAAAATGGATCGCGTGTCGAGAGCTTGAACTCAGGTTCCCTTCTACCATTCCCCTCCCATTATCTCTGCAGTGGGTTCCGTTCCATCCATTCCCAAATTCCATCTTCATTAACGGCGGGTGGCACCCAATTTTTCTCAATGCCGAACAAGCACTTTCGGGGGCCTTCGTTCCATCAGCGTCGCGAAGCCAATTCTGTCCAAATATCCATTCCAAATGCGATGGAGGAAGGCGTGAAGCTGGCGGGATTTTCACCCAGTTGCATAGAAAACATCACGGTCCCCATTAGAGCAAAGGCCTCCGCCTTTAGGGAGATAGATACATCCCATGAGCGTTTTCTTTTGTCCTTGGAGTCAGGGAGGATGGAGCTGGGTTCCTATTGATCTGGGTCTGCGGTTTGTGCGACCCAGTTGACGCGTCTTATGATGGGCAGGCCTTCTGTCATCGTCGGAGAGTTGGGCGCCGACAGGCAGACGGTGGAATGATTGATGATATAAATCAAACAATTAACTCGCTTCCACTCCCCTTTCCTCGAACGGGGAGCTACTGATATGAATCAAACAGTCAACACATTCATACTCTAGCAAATGGTATCAGCTACCATCAACTTGCACCTATCGTGCAACGCAATTCAATCCTTAGACCTCCTGCTGCTGAACCACCTCTTTAGAGGGTTCCAACTCTGTTTAGTGGGTGTCCACTCCTCGAGCATTTTGATCATCTCCGGATCAGGATCCAGCATCTTTTCTCCGTTCCATGCAAACCGACCTTGCTGCGCATGTCCCAAAAGCATGGTCCTGATATATCCCATTGATGGTTGTGCCCTATCCATCCAATGCCTGATATATAGCTGCACGTTCCACTTGATGGCGTGGGAGACAAAACCGGCCGAACCCCAATTCCCCCACGGATAGCAGGGCTGTTGAGTAGGGTGATCCGCCGCATGTTTTGTGACAGTGTGGTCTAGGTCGCCAAGTTCTCTGGATAGCGGCTGACTCCTCTCTTTCTCGTACTGAAGGGCGGCGAAGAATATGTCGTTCACAGGCTCCAGGATGGGCCCTCTGCGACGTTCCCGTAAAAACCCGTATTCAATCGGAGCCGATTTGAGCTCCGCAAGACTCGTTATCGCCATGACGCGGTAAGGTTCAAACTCAACCCGGCAAGATGGTAAAGAGTCTGCGAAGTGGTCAAACTCGGCACGTGGTGTGTAGACGTCGACTCTAGCCCACTCTCTAAATGTTTCTATTGCCTCACTTTTTCTGAGAAAGTCTCTAACAGTCCTATGAAGAAAGTCGACACGGCAGTTGAATGGAGGCCCATATCTATCGTCTTACGTGACTTCTAACAGTCCCATACATCGCCCGTTCAATCGTCGCCGCATTTCATTCTGGCGTGCCTCCAGTTGGGGAATGGTAAGTGCCTTCACTGGGATGCGAGACAAGGATTCCCGCTCGTGCTCCTCCAGATCAAGGTACCAATAGTTGAGAACGGAGAGTGGCCGGGGAGCACATAGAGTAATGAGAAATGCCCGAGCAGATTGTGGCCGGTACGTTTCGTCGATGGATTTGAGGATATGATCGAAAAAGTCATCCAGGTCCGACGGGATGGCTCTCAGTCGCCGGTAGAGGTCGACGATTCAGTCCGAGTTTTGTAGCCAATGAATCAACGACTTCACGACAAGATGGACCCAGAGGAAAACGCCCTGTGCTCTGGACGTGATTTCGAGCACCAACTGATCGGCAGAGGGATCTCGCATCCGAAGGATCTGGAAATCGCGGCGATCGACAAGATTATTCTTCACATAAAGCTCAATATCCTGTCTGTTGAAGTCTTCGAGGTACAACTTGAATTCTGGATGGGCGCCGAACGCCGATTCGAAGACATTCCAGGGACGACTGGAGATGCACAATTTGATATTGGGGCTTCGCGACAAGTCTCTGAATAGGTAAATCAACTCGTCACTGTCGCCATTGTACTCATCCAATCCATCAATCATGAGGCAGATGTAGGGAGAGTTATGGTGATTAACAATCCTTTTGAGGGCCTCGAACAAATCCCTTCGAGTCCACTGCGCGAGGTCATCGAGGCCGTATCCCGACCATAACATTTGATAGCGATCAGGGAATGCGCATTGTGCCAGGTTTGGGTCTTGCCGGATGAGGTCGTAGAGCAGAGACCGCAAAAGCCCCTCCTGGGACTTCTGCAACTCAGTCCCGTTGATCCAAAAGAAGTAACTAGAAGTCAGGACTTTCACACCGCGCGACCAGTGCTTAAGTAGTTGCGAGACCTGACGATTGTCGACCAGGAACTTCATCAGCGTACTCTTCCCGCTCCCTGGCTTGCCACTGACCCAGAAGAGGGGAACATGTGATAACACCCACCGCGAGAACTGATGGTTGAGCATCCAGCGGCACGTATTCATGTGCGCGTCTTTGATCTTCGAGTGGCGGAAGTTCATTAGGTTGAACCACAGCGCTCGTAGCAGTGTCAGCGAAACCATCATTGACCGTCCTAACTTGGCTGTCTTGGATAGTGTCGCAATGTGCGGAGTGACGTCGATGGGATCCTGCTGCGCCATGTTGCGGAAGAAGACATCATCATCCGATGCTTTCGTCTGCCGATCAATAATCATACGAAAGTGCTGCCGGAAGAGTTCGTTGCGCAAGTGACCGATGGCGGTCAGTAGCTCCTGACGAACCCCGTGAATGCTGTCGGTTAGGTGTGCTTGGAGACTAACACTTGCATCTTGTAAAGCGTCGACTCTCCATAGAATGGCCGACTGTTGCTCGCTGAGTTTTCTGTCAGAGCGGAGTGTTCGACCAAGGAGTAAAAGCCAAAATAGAAATAGTTATAAACAATAATAGGACAAAAAAAAACGGTCGCTAACGTTCTCTCACCTTTGCAAAACCTTCAGACACAGAGCAATCTTATTTCTGTAGTCTTCCAATTGATCCCTTAGACGCGTTATCTGGTCCGACTTCGCGACCCCCATCAGCGCACTGAAGAAGCTTCCCCATTTTGACCCTGGCCACTGCGATCGGAGTCTCTCGACCAGACTCATCAACTTCAGGGCCGTCTCGCGACAGCCTACTGCGAGCCTGGCCAGCCGCCCATAGACGAATCGAACACGTATGGTCTTTGCAACGTATCGCTTGACGCCGTAGGCACCAGTCGCATCGATAAGTCGTGGAGCACTCGAGCGATCGTGTCTGCATCGTCAATCTGTCTCGAAGCACCCGTTGCCGAGGAGTAGATCTCTCTTGTCTGCGAGAAGAGCTTGCATCCAAAGTCAACGAATTGTACGATGTTGCCAGCCAATCCTATCGCTGAAAATGGATCCATTTGGGTGTATTGTTCAGTGCCCTTAACCAAATGGAAGCCCTAGATTCGTAAGTACTGCTTGTCGTAGTAACTTGTTCGATTCGGAACACGATCATAATCGCTCTCAAGGTCCAGCCGCACGAGAAGGCTCGCGGCCTGAGATCCGAGGCACTGATGCATAAACATTGCCTGCAAGATATCAATAGCGCACTTTGATGGTGGTCAGCCGCTTTCAGTTTAGCTCTTTTTGGACATGGACAGGTACATACGAGTCAAGCAAAGGCCTCTTCCCTCATCTTACTCGCCCAGATGAGGAAATGATGAGGTTAAAATTCCCCAACCCGTGGTTCTCCTTTTCCGGGGCTCGCGCGATGTACTTCATATATACGAAGTAGAGGTGCTCCTACTGTCCCTCTGGACTTCCACTTCAGTATTTGTTGGAATAAAGAAACAATATATTTAGCTCCAATTATGCATCCAGAGTGACATGCAGCTCATTTTTGGCGTGGGCTAAATTCAAATAGTATTTGATTCCCTTGCCCGGACTCTGTGACAGCAATGGAGGAGACGAAATTCAAGTTTCTGAGCGAGGGTTTCGACTTCTTGCCTGTGGTACGGTGATGGAACTTACGTAAGTAGCTTGTCAGTTCCTCTGGATGTGGCTACTAGTGTCCTAACTCTGCCGACGCTGTCCTCCATGGGGGGGTCGCTTCCCGAGTCCAAATCTAACGATCTCTCATCCTCAAGTGGCTCGGCACACTCATCGTCTGAGTTACGATAGCGGATACCAGTCAATGGGTCTTCGCCATTGTCAAGCCAATGCGCTTCCGTGGACGGGAAAGCTGGGGTTGTAACTGGCAAGAGTTTTGCTTGGCTGAGAGACTGGGATGGAAATGGGGGCGTGGCTGGTTCAAGGGGTGAGGTTAGCAGAAGGGGAGAGGGGCGTATTTCAGAGACAATGGCAAATGTCATTGTCTCTGAAATACGCCCTACTTCCTGTTTAGAACTAGTCAAGCCATAAGCTCTACTGGCATGTTTATTCCTTAAATGAAGGCATTTTGACAGCGAGCAACAATCGAATTGTGCATTATTGTGGCGATAATCAACGCCCTTCACATTTCAGATTGCACTTTCGTTGGGCTTCCTTGTATCTGCCCAACACTATTATGAAGGGTCAACGTGGTCTGAGGGAGAGCCTGCCTTTAATAGACCACCAATTCTTCAACGTACCTCAATATTCCTGGAAGAGAATACAATCACCGGATTCTTTCATAGTTACCTACTTGTCGTCCCCGTGCCTCCCTTCTTCAATAGCGCTGCCATCCATGGCTGAAATTGTAGCTATCATAGCTGCCTCTCTACAGCTTTCAGAGCAAGCATTCCGGCTGCTTGCGAAAGCGAAGCGGTTTTGGAATGAAATTGACCAGGCCCCATCGAGGATAGAGGAGGTTGTAAGGAACCTTGAAAACTTACAACCGATCCTCAAGCGACTCAGGAGCTGTGAGGATCAAATCAAGTGCGGCTCGCACATCGTTGCTAGCTACTCTTACTTCTCCGAAGCATACGATCATTTGAATGAGTTCATTCAAGATCTAAATCGTGAGATCGACACAACTCATGGTGGTCGGCGAAAGGCTCTTGCCGCGAAGTTCATCCGTCGGAAGGCCCTAATCGACCGCCTCGAAACAAGACTAGGCAAGGCGATGAGAGTGCTACAGGTATCATTGCAGCTTAGCAACATGTAAGATTCCAGTCTGTTTCGGCCGTTTGTTGACTGGGAATCTAACCCTCTTCACTATTAGAGATCAGGCAGATCGGCACTATAAGGTGTCCAGGCGGAACTACGGTCTATCGAAGGAGCACTACGATTTGTCCAAAGCGTATTACGAAATAATACTCTCTCACCTCCTTGAAATAAAACCTCATCAAGAAGATGAGCCGACCTCCAACCCGCGGGACAACAAGCCCCAGGCCATATCTCCAGCGAGTGCTCACGGAAACACCTTCATCCCATCTGATAATGCACCTTATGAGTTTGTTTTCCAACTTCCTCGTTGGTTGACCGGGGCAATGTGGCGCATTCACATGAGCAAGTCACTCTATTGCTGGTCATTCGATTTCAGGCACTATAACCCTCAATATTTCGAAGATGATATCTTTGAAGTCGTGGGCCGCGGGGATATTGATAAAATGCTTCTCTTGTTTCGCACGAATTATGCATCGCCGTTTGACTGCGATGCTGCTGGAAGGTCCCTACTTTATGTACGCAGTCCACAAGGTGCTCTTTACCGAATGCAGGTCATGGAGCTAACTTTGGCAGCATGCGATCACTTTTGATCAGGTTGCCATCTGTTCGAAATTGCTTGAATTGGGACTCAAAGATTCTGTGGACAAGAAACCCTCTAGAGACCACCTGTAAGTAGATACGAACAAAGAAGCTACTTTGAACCACATACAAGTTGAGTCTAATATATCGGTATAGTTCTCCTAGAGAATGGGCATACTTGCGGTATTTGCCACACGTGGCCAGAAATGGGGGCAGTAGGGTCATAATCGATATGCTTCCCGACTCTATTCATCAATCCCCCAACGTTGAGAGCTGCAGAATCTTTCCCTGGGGTTGCTGTTTGGGGCCAACCAACCTAGCCAGTCTCGAACAATTCCAGCGCGAAATTGTTCCCCAATACTTCAGTCTCTCAACCGAGGAACGTCTGAGGGTTGCCAGAGCCTATTGCCTCTGTGGCCCTTCTAGACAGCACCCGGACGTGAACGTTTTTACGTTCCTAATCAGGAAGGGCGGAAAACTCCGCCCAAATGACTACAAAGTTAACTCGACTCGTCCCGGATGCTCCCTTATCCACTCAATTGCCATCTCGCTAGGAAGAGCCTACAGAAGGATGGAGATCTCCGCGTCACGACCCTGTCCATCACAGGAGATGGGATGGGTCCGACTGCTCCGAAAAGTTCTGATAGGATCACGGGAATCACGTCAAAATGTGCTCCACCTCGTTGAGGGCATCCAGCCTCAACACTCAATCCGGATCGGTCTAATATGCAGAACTAGTTGGACCGGAACGCCCCTATTATCGGTATTGAAAGCCAGTGTGGCAGAAATATTTTGGGAAAGTAACACGCGACCCACACCATTCAAACAGGAGTGGAAAAAGTGGCAGTCTATCCCAGCATCCGCGTTACAAAGATGGCTCAGCAGGCTTGAGGAATTTGGAGTGGACTTGGTTGAATATGGGCGACAGGAGCAGAAAGCGATGTTCCACGCCGAGACCAACGGGGGAGCGACGGCACTCGACTTCCTGTGGACTACCCGTTGGTGGTCCCACTCGGAAAATGAAGCCGTGAAGAAACAGCTACCGATTCGTCTGCGTCGTGTCAAAGTTGGACATGCTCCGAATGATTGGCTGCTGTCCTGGGAGATTGATGTCGAGAAAATAGCAGGTGAGTTCTGGAGATTTGTTGATAGTCCACGAGTCGCCTATCAATCCTAGGGTGGGGAAAGACTAGCCACAGCAGTATCATGGAGGAATAGGCTTGTTTGTTGAGGGAAAAGGAGGGATAGAAATAAGAATGAAAATCAATAAAAAGTTGGAGAAAAAAGATTCAAGGATTAGTTAAGGGAGAGTGAAAAGAAGGGGACGGAGAAGGATCTCTTATATCTAGGTTATAGGCACTCAGTAACATCATGCTTAACCATTGAGGCTCGCCAAATGTGAATTCTACCATTGGGTTCATGTGTAACTACCCATTTAGCATCTCGGAGCGATGTTGAATAGATAGGTAAGAAGAATGAGAGTAAAAAGTTCTATTCGTTAGAGTTATTAATAGACCTTTCGTGAACAACCAGTAGCTTCCACATGCATCTAGTGGGGACTAGGGAGACTGGAGTTGACAAAGAGAGCTTCGTTGCCACTTTGCTCATGTTTATTTAGAGCGGAGAAGACACCGGGCAAGAATCACATCTTTTGTGATTACATTTGCCATTGGAACATTTCTCATTCAATATGGAAGTGTTCACCTGAGAGCATTTGCACTGGCCGGGTGATGTTAGCTCACGAGCTCTGGGAAGATATACCTTGATCAAACAACGTACACACTCCCAGACTTGGTCTAAGGCATTCTCCTTTTGCTGGATTGTATTTGACTAGTGTTCTATTAGTTAATATATTTTATAATGCTCTTCAATAGAAATGCATACCTCATTCGGAACAGCAGGCGGGTTGCCACTCAAGACGATAGTAGATTTGCGAGGCATAGTCAAGGTGAGATGGTGGAAGGTACGTTGCTGAATGTATGATTGAAGGTAGAACGTCGGTTATGGACACTCTTAATGGGCTTTCGAGGGAGAGTTTCTAGAAGGCAAGATGAAGCTGGGATGTTAAGGTGTTGCTGGAGACCTCTGAGCATGAATCCCCTCCCCGGGGCAAGAAGTCCTTTTATATCTAATGTTCGAGGATCAAGCGTAAATCATCCGTGGAACATTTTTCTTTTCCTGGTCGTTAGGTTCGCGCAAACAAGCTGTTAACAATCTGTAATCAAGCTGTTAACAGTCTTTCATGCCATGGATGAAACCACTTATGGCTAATGATCAATCATAACACGATGCGACACAATCTAACCCGGGCTCCATCGTCACGTCTTTGCGACACAAGGTCCTGCTGAAGTATTCGTGTCGTTGGAAGTATAATGAGTGAGACTCGAGCGTTACAACCGATTATTCGGCTTTTCACTTGTCCCTCGAGATGACCTGGGGAACACTGTTAGATTGGCCGTATCGAAGACCGCACTTGCGAATCCCGACAATCAAATGTTGCCACGAGAAACCTGAGTTCACCATATTCTGATGTCATCTGTTCGGCTTTTGGCTGGTTCAAAGGCATAGATTGCCTGTAGATTGGTTAGATTGTTTAGATTAGTTCGATTGATTAGATTAGTTAGATTGGTTAGATTGGTAAATTGTGAGATTGTTCGAGCATTAGATTGCTCGAGTGTTGGAGTGTTCGAGGGCTAGACCGCCAGAGTGTGGAGTGTGGAGTGTGGAGTGTAGAATGCTAGGATGTTGGAGTGTTAGGGTGTGAAGAGCACCGCAATTCAAAGCCAGTCGATCCAGAATATGCAGGAAGCCTCCACATTCCATTCGTCTTTTACCTTCGGCCAGTTTCTGCAATGGTAACAGGCCTGAAGCACTACTGAGTAGACTCATCGCTATTGCAACGGAGTTTCTCTGACGAGATGGCTTTGCCTGTGAGATACTTTGATCTATCAACAGATGGTATGCGGTGAGGTTGGGGTCCCCGCTCATATGAAACATGAATCTAGTAGAATAGGGACAATGGTGGTAAGACAGCCAGGGACGGACGGCACTTTGTATGACATATCCCTATCGTCGTCCTCATTTTTTTTATTGTATTTTGTTCTTTTTGTCTTGAATTCGATGGGGAGATGATCGGAACGAGATCAGGAGAAGGCAAAAAGCCTTCGTCAACCAATACCAGAAAAGAGTATTGAAGGCAATCTAAGACATGTCATTGGCATTGGGAAGCAGAAAACATCGTGCGCAACCAACAAGCTTGTAGCTCTCAGAAGGGCTCATCGTCTCGTCGGAAGGTTTAGGAGAAAGTTGTCAGCAATCTTCGTATCTAAGACACTACTAGTGGTGATGGGATAGACTCCGGCGTGCGTGTTAATGGAGAGAAAATAAGCAACGGTCTAGTCCAATGTCGTGACGTCGCAAAAGGGGCATCTTGCCCATCAACTGAGACGGCTGTCTAAGACCTGTCCTGCAGGTTCATGGAGAATCGACCTTGTCCCTTTTTTTTGGGCGCCACCCAGGGTCCATCCAAACTGCGAGTAGAGTAGGCGACAAAGCATTTCACTCCCACTCCCTTCTAGGAACGCGAGGTCCACATCAACTTCCGCCTTGTGCAGAGAGCGCCTGCAGTTTGGGGTTTTTGCCGCCGAATATCACATGCTTCGTGGCTCGTTTATGGACATCGAGTCTGCTGGAAGTGACTTTTGTTCCTGACGCATCTGATCAAAACGGGGTACAGTCGCTTAGGCCGTATCTCCAACCGGCCTCGAGGGAATTACTTTTTACGGGGTGCCCATTTCTTATGCATTTCCAGTATAGCTTCAAGAATGTGCCCGTCACGTTATAAACTATCATGGAGCAATATCGCTGACGGGGCTGGGTCAAGAATCTTGCTTGTCCCCCAAGAAACTATTGGTCGATAACCAGCATCACTTAGCGTCTTCAGGAGGACTTATTACGTTCTTTGGCAGTGCGGCTTCTCCGAAGAACCTGACAATCATGTTAGCAGCCTTGCTGGTCCCTTGGCGCTTCCTTGCTTGCAATCCTTGGGTCTTAGCACCAATCACCCTCGGACTTGTATGCCTTACTAAAACTTGACAATCTCTTTCTCGAGTTGAGTCGCTAGTTTCACTTCGTCTTAATAAACCTGTCTACACGGCGCCTGGCGACAGCCTTACTCAGCTTCTGGCGGGCTTACCCGGCTTACCTACTTTAATGCGACCATCATAAAAGCGACATTTCCTCAACAACATCAAATGGTCCCGGGCTAGGTGCGATCGTATGTCTCAGACTATGTGTGATACTCAGCAGACCGTCTAGTGTGTATTAGTCTGAGTGAAGGTTTGTCAATCTCGCGAAAAGACCTCCGCATCTAAAAGATGCTGAAATCACCAGCGTTGATATTGGCATCTTAAATTTACAAGCTAGTAACCCAGCGACAGTTTCTAGAGAATCACAGTTAGACAACGAGCTCTTTACTTGTTGAAGGAGAGCATCAATTTTACAAGCCGACAGTTCAAGAATTCTTGGGGCGCGGTAAACTATAGGAGAAAGAAAGAATAGCCGAGCAGACTCGTCAGACCCTTGCAGCGCCAGGTTTGAAGTAATTGCGTAAGCAAGCGGCCGCTGGACGGGACGGCGAGAGGGCGGAGAGGGGATCGAAAGAGGACGGACAGGGACCGAGGGGGGGACGGAAAGGGGGCGAAAGGACGACGCAGAGGGGCGGAGAGAGGACGGAAAGAACTTCTAGGAAGAAGAACTGCCTTTATATGTCAGATATAAAAATCTAAACTATTAAATTATAATAAAATAGAAGAGGAAATTGCTTTTTTAAAATAATGCGTAATAGTTAAATTCGATCGTCGGAGAGTTCAACCTGCCTATAAGTGGAAAGAGGAATTATTGATGTGAGAGAATTTGCCCGCAAGAGGCACTTGATTTACGACGTTCAGGATGCTCCGGGAGATTACATCGTCGCCTAAAAATGGGTCACCTCTCTGATGTAAGCGTAGTCCTCGAGGAGGTAGTGTACCTCAATTGTTGTATATGCTTCGTATTCTCCGTTGAAGTCGAATGGCTGTTCTAATCTGCGCTGCTGGATTATGGAGCCCAGAGGTAAGTGGGGTCAATTAGCGGTGGGGATGAGGTTGGCCAGACAATCCGAATGCGAATGCGAATCCTTCGATCCTTCAATCCTTCGAGAGCCCACATAAACTGCATCTCTTCCTGTCCAAGATGTCTAAACGATATCACGTGCCCTCCTGTCTTTTACAAATTCATCTCGGAGTGCGAACCGGTGCTGTCACGCCACTCTCCTTATAGACCGAAACTGGTTCTCTATATTACGGAGTACACTCACCTCTTTCTCTCCCGCGATCAACAACGTCTCGGCAGACCGTCAAACTACGAGGAGTCTCTCGAGCGTCACCCACTCCCTGAGATATTACACCCATCACACACATATTACAAACCCGTTCTCATCATGGCATCTGGACTTATATTCGACCCTCTCGTCGTCCTCCGGGCAGCGCCGCTGGTATCCTCAACCTGCTCGCTTCTTTACGCGTGGGATCAGCACTTCTTCCTCAGCATATTGAACCGCCCCGAAAACCGCAAACTCAGCAAGCCCCTCCTCCCTTCCTATTTCAACACCTTCTTCCACAAGGGGGTGTGGATCGTCCTCGGCTGCTTAGCCGTCACGTCCTCAACTTCGGTCGCCAACCTCTACACCCAACGGTCCGTACTCCGAGCTAGAGACTCCTTCTGGTGGTACGTCGGCGGTGCGGCGCTTTCGATCGGTCATCTCTTATTCGTGCCGCTCATTGCGCCGAGCGTGCAGAGGACGGTCGAGGCAAAGCCTGACTCGGAGCCTGATGCGAACGCTTCCTTGGATGAGTGGCTTTCTATCAATTTTGTGCGGATGGTAACGGTAGACCTGGCAGCCTGGCTCGCTGTTGGCGTTGCGGTCGTGAAGACACTTCGTGCTTAAGAAGTGGGCTACTTCTACCTGCGGATATGCTCGTGTTTAATCTTTGGATAAGTTGCAAATCATAGATGCCTAGTATTTCCTTCACTCTACCACTAAGAGGCATTTTCGGAGGGCTGTATATTAGATCATCTTAGAAAAGCCATGAAAGTCACTTTTCAATCTAGGCCTTTGTTGGCATGAAAGTCTATAGAAATAGAGTCTTCAATCGAAAGTCCTTAAAGCACCTCACACAGGGTTGGTGCGATTTGTAACGATCTATTAAGGAGACGACAGTAACACTGCCAGTCACGGGTTCCATATTGCAATCAAGCAAGAGGGTGATTACGGGACGGGTGGGAACCCAGCCCATCGCAGCTTTGGCCAACTCCTTGCGTGGTGTCACAAGGAGGTAGAGATTCTGATGCGCTGCTGGCGAGGTGAAAATGTGGAAGCGATTGGTCGATTCATATTAGTCGCTATCATCGCCTCCGCTCAGCTTCCTTAAACCGAAACTTGCAATCCATGTCCGAGATGGGCGCGTTATCTCCAGTACATGCCGATGTGCTCTATCTTAGAACGATTGCATGTCTTGTTCGAACCGCATCCGCTGCTTCCTGCACCCGCCTCTCGACCTCGATATTCACCAACCTAAAGGCCCGCGCTGGAGGATAGAACTCGGTGCCCTCTCTCGCCAATCCCTCGACGCATTCAGCTACATTCTGCAGGAGCCGGAGGTCTTCCCTGGCTGTTGGCGCCGTAGGATCGTGAATCATTGCGCTCGCTAAATGAGCGTGTGCAATATACGCTCGGTAATACCCAAGAATCATCGACATTGCTTCTTGCTTTGGTAACTTCATAATATGTATCATATGATGAACAACTTTGAGGACTCTTCGAGATGTACGTATTGAAAGGTCGTTTCTGGGAATCATGTCGTCATTATCTGATAATAGTGGGCGGCGGTCGTTGCACCCGGGGAATGACGCTTTTCGGAGCATGAAGAGTATGGAGGTGTAGCCTGAGAGCGCAAGGTCTCCCAGAACCCAAGCATTAACATCGTCGTCTTTGTAACTCTCCAGCCATTCCTCCTAATCCGTCATCGTCAGACATTCAGATGGACGTTCTTTGTTGACGACTGAGTTATGGAAGGGCCTCCAGGAAGCGGCAGCGACTTAGACTTACGATTTTCCATTCCTCGAAGATTTTATCCACCTCTTCGCAGAGGGAGTTGACGGCGGATAATACATCGGCCTCATCTTGCAGCGTCTCTGAGACCTGGAAATAGCTGATGAGAATAAAGGTGAGGCGGCTCCTGACTAAGAAAGCCATGGTTGGAACGGCATCATCCCGCTCTCGCGGGACGTCAATAGAGAGGCGGGGCATGTTGACTCTCCAGTCTTTAAGGTGGGATGAGAATGCTGCCGGTTTGTTGTTGATGAGACGGAAGAAGAGGTCGAGCTGGATGAGATCCCACATGCCAATGCGATCGTCGTCACTCATGGAAGGCTGGCCCGCGGAGGGTTCGAGGCTGTCGAGAATATGCAGTTGCGATGCCTGGGCGTATTCACAAGCCAGCTTGTGCATCTCCCAACTTAGGCTGAAGTCGAAGCTCTCTGTGGCCGTCTGAGTCTTTATTTTTGCAATGCTGGTTAGGAAGGGGGTAACAACAGGTAGGTGTGTTTGGGATGGGAGAGGGGGCATTTGTTACCATGTACATGGCCGCAATGAAATCCGTGACAGTCCTAACGGCCTCTTCCTGCCAAACCGGGATGGTCCGCCGACAGCATATGAAGATTTGCCTTGCGTAATGTTTGTTGAGGTTCTCTGGTGACTCTGCCTTCTTAAAGAAAAGTCCCTGCCAGAGTATACAGTAGTATATGAGAAGCATGGAAGCATCGAGGTGGACGTGGTCCGTGCCGAGGAGATAGGGGATCATGTCAATTAGCTTGCGATCTACCATCGCAGGGAGTAGTTTCCCATTGATGTTGGTGAAGTAGTCTGGTAAAAGAATTAGCATCAACATAATAATAGATTAGAGGCTGCTTAAAACGCGTCTGAGTCCTCACTGTCAATCAATTGCTCGGCACACTCCGGTGGAATGTTGACGTATTCCAAGGTGATGGCTTTGGTGCCGAAGCTGTGCTTCTTCCTATGCTGTTGGACTTGGTCGACAGCATGGCTTAGGATGGATGTGATATCCAGAGGAGTGGCCACTCCACTATCCTCAGGGCCCGTGAACCCCAAGTCGCCTGGGGACGCCGGCGAGCTAACGTGTCTCGAAGGTCTGGATGATTCGGCTCTGCCAAGGCCGGAGCCGTCTTGGCTTCTCGCAATGTCGGGAGTAGTGCCCTGGGATTGAGGTCCGGTGGTGGTAGAGGCCTCCGGTGGTGGGCTTCTGACCGTACCTTGCCGTTCAAGACGCTGGAGTCTCGAGAGAATGGCTGAAAGAGCGCCGCATGTGTCTCTAGGCCAAGATACTTTAGTTCATCAAATGCCTCCTAAACTCGCTCCAGACCGGGGCACACGGGCAGCATACAGTGTTGACAATTCTGTCTTGGGGCGAGAGTGCCGGGGCTGCCGGTGGGGATAGAAGCATTCGATTCCCTGGGAGAGACATCTTTGGCAGGAAGGCTGAGTGCGATTGCACCCAACTTTCCTGCGGCGGCAGTTCGTGCACTATAGAGTAAATGAATACGTTAGAAGGGCCCGAGCTCGTTGGCCCAATGGCCGGGTCGACCCAAGACCTTAAATGCATCAATGATGCAACTTCCTTGATGGCGGGGAGGGGATCCACCTCAACATGGGACATGGCAACTTACCGAGAGTTTGCTCTTGGATGCTGGAGTCATACGGTTGGCTTGAGCAGCTTATAGGCGAACGGTTAATATGAAGGGGAACAAGGGAGCGGAAGAAAGCTGCCAATATGTCCCGCCAGACCGGAATGCTCATGGTCTTTCCCAGTATCGTCATACATAGATAGTATATTATGAAAAGCGGGGACTCCGGCTCTTCGGCTAGCAATACGAAACGCAGTTTTCCCAGCATTCTCCACTACTCGATGTCAGCCAGGCTAAGAGCGCCTGCCAAGGCCGTGGGGGTCTTAGCTGAAGCTAAGGATAAGATCGACCCTATCACAGGTAGCGGTAGCGGACACTACAATTGCGCTTACCGCCACTTTCATGTAATCTAGGTGTTGATGATAGCCGCGACCGAGATGGTTCTGGAGGGTTCTTCCCAAAAATGTGGCCTCGATCCGCCAGATCTTACTAGGAAATGAGATGCGAGGAAGAAGGTAGAGTCCACTACATCCACGGTCCGCTATCTTCCTGGCAACGGGTCGGCTCGTGTGATTTTATGTCTGTCCCGAGAGGCCCAATACCGAGATTTCCTCCATCACCTAGCATACAGGCAATCTTTCACTTTGCCTAAGGCCCTAAGCTAGAACACAATTTGGAAAATTATCATCGTGTCGATCAACGTGTTCTGTTTGATTTAGATTAGCACTTCCGTGGCAAAGAAAGCCCCACAGATAATGGACTTAGAGACTAGTGCCAGTGGGACAAATTGGCTGTGTGGAGCTGCGCAGTTTCGCAATTTCGCAACTTCGCACTTTGTATAAGTCCGGTCTACCTCCACCCGCACGACACGAGAATGGGTGGGAGGAGAGCAAAAGCGTGGGCCGCCGTTGTGACTTTCTCGTGACCCGTCGGCGGTCGTCTAAGATAGGCCCACTTCGGCCTCCGGAGACGTGCCGACCTTTCCCTGTACGATTGCAAACTAGCATGAACTTGCAGCGACCTATGAGTCCATCTAAAGCTTAAGACCTGTTGGAAGCTTCGATCCAAATACTGGGGCTTCGCACTTTCGGATGCCGTCATCCACCCACGATGCAAACTTGCGGTGGAGTGAGCGGCATTGATGCTAACGACGGTGGGGAGGGCAGAGGGATAACCGGTGATGGATGAGAAATCTGCACTTCAGTCTTCAGCACATCGTACTCCTCGGTCGAAATATATATAGAGCAGCTATAAACCGGGCACTTTACCCGTTTTTACGCTCCCGCAGTAGCAAGAACACCATTGAAGAATCCTCTCTCTTTGGCCGTACCATTCCCACATCGTGTGACCGCGCCGGCGGCCTCCCGTACCCTACCCAGTATTCTTCAGTCCCCCTACTGGCAAGCTTTGACCTCCTTGGCCAGTCATATCGCCCATAGCTGTCAGGATGCCGCCCAGTGCCGCCTCAAACCCCGAGCTCGAGCACGGTATCCCACATGTATTACCTGACAGCCGCCCTTTCACTGCCAGTGATTCCGACACGGCGGAGCCGATAGAGGACGAGATCCACGAACTCGCTCGGCGCGTCACAACCCTCTCTGTCACCGGGGGCGGTGCCATCCTACCCAAGCCAACGGATGACGTCCTCGACCCTAACAGTCCTGACTTCGACTCTAAGAAATGGGTAAAGGCCTTCTATGATACCCAGAAGCGGGCCCTAGGCGGAATACCACCGAACTCGGCCGGCTTCGCCTTCAGGAACCTCAACGTCTTCGGCCAAAAGGCCGTGGCGGAGTACCAGAAGACCGTCGCGGAACTCGTCTATGGGCCGATGGAGATTTTGCACCGCCTGTTCGGCTCGACGGTGAGACAGCAGCGCGTGGACATCCTGCAGGATCTAGAAGGCGTCATGGAGAGCGGCGAGATGCTCTGCGTCCTGGGCCCTCCCGGATCCGGGTGTTCCACCTTCATGAAAACCATCGCCGGTGAGACCTACGGTTTCCAAGTTGCAGAAGGAAGCATGATAAATTTCCAAGGTCTCGGGAGAAAGGACATCGACACAACCTTCAAGGGGGAGGCCATCTACACCGCGGAGGTCGACTACCACTTCCCCAGGCTCACCGTTGGCGAGACGCTCTACTTCGCCGCCCGTGCCCGGTGCCCGCAGAACCTGGCAGACCACAAGCACGAATATGCCGAGCACCTCCGGGATGTCGTCATGGCGATGCTGGGAATTTCCCACACCAAAAACACCCTGGTCGGAGACGACTTTATCCGCGGAGTTAGTGGCGGAGAGCGCAAGCGCGTGAGTATCGCCGAGGCCATTCTTAGTTATTCGCCGTGGCAGTGCTGGGATAACAGCACTCGGGGTCTGGACTCTGCGAACGCGGTCGAGTTCTGTCGCACTCTGCGGCTGCAGTCCAAGACTTTCGGCAGCAGCGTGTGCGTTGCCATTTACCAAGCTCCTCAGGAGGCGTATGATGTGAGTTGAGCCTATTCGGGGACTACCCTCGAGATCCTGCTAGGTGCTGTGCTGACGCTGATTTTCCTCTTCATATAGCTGTTTGATAAGGTCATTGTCCTCTATGAAGGGCGACAAATTTTCTTCGGAAGGACCTCCGACGCCAAAGCATATTTTGAGGGCTTGGGCTTCGAATGCCCGCCTCAGCAGACCACGCCAGACTTCCTGACCTCTATGACTAGCCCGTCCGAGAGAATTGTCAAGCCCGGATGGAAAGGAAAGACGCCCCCCCGCAGCCCCGAGGAGTTCGCCCGGGCATGGCACGAGAGTGAGCACCGCCGAGCCCTCATCTACGACATTGACATGTTCGAGGAACGCTTCCCGATTGGTGGAAGCCAGTCTGAGAAGTTCCAGGTCGCAAGAACTGAGCAAAAATCCGCGTCGCTGAGCGCCGGCTCGCCATTCACACTCTCCCTTGCTGGCCAGTTTCTTTTGAACCTGTGGCGGGCCTACCGCCTTCTGATCGCTGATCCCTGGTTCTATGTAACCTTGCTCCTGGCCAACCTCTTCGAATCACTCGTTGTGTCGAGTATTTTCTACAACATGCCCCCTGACAGTTCCAGCATGTTTCGTCGGAATCTAATGATCTTCTACACCCTCTTGATCAATATCTGGACGGCAGCCCTAGAGGTTCTTACCCTCTATTCCAGGAGAAAGATTGTGGAGAAGCATGTGCGCTACGCGCTATATCATCCTAGCATGGAGGCCCTGGCGTCTATTGCGATGGATATCCCCTTCAAACTCGTCAACGCAGTCTGCATTAACGTCACCCTCTACTTCATGTGCAATCTCCGCCGCGAACCGGGGCCTTTCTTCTTCTTCTACCTGCTTTCTTTCACCATTACAATCACCATGTCCTTGTTCTTCCGGTTTCTCGCCTCCGTTACTAAGACGGTATCCCAAGCCCTGGCGCCATGTGCAATTGTCACTCTCGGGCTCATGATCTATGGCGGTTTTGTCGTGCCCCAGAACTACTTGGACGACTGGATTGGCTGGCTGAGGTGGATAAACCCACTATTCTACGTGCAGGAGAGCCTTTCGCTGAACGAGTTCGTCGGGCGCGAGTTCCCCTGCGTCGAATTCGTACCCAGCGGACCGGGCTATTCTACTGACTCGGTTCCATCTGTGGGGCGCGTGTGCTCCGTCGAAGGGTCTGCCGCCGGTCAGAACTTCGTTGACGGAAGTGAGCATTTGCGGGTAATGTACGGGTTCATCAACAGCCACCGCTGGCGAAACTTCGGCATCCTTATCGGCATCACCGTCTTTTTCCTCGCGATCCATTTGGCCGCGGTGGAGCTGATTTCATCGGAGCGCTCGAAGGGCGAGATCCTCGTCTTCCCCCGCCGGGTGCTCAAGATGCGGTCTAGCGGGAGCGATGACGAGGAGAAGAGGGGGTCCCCAGCCGATACTAGGAGCCATGGACAGCACGTTCGAAATGACGAGCCACAGGGGATCGGAAGACAAACGTCGGTCTTCCACTGGCAGGACGTCTGCTACGACGTCCAGATCAAGAATGAGAAAAGGACAATCCTAGACCATGTAGATGGGTGGGTGAAGCCGGGCACCTTGACAGCACTTATGGTGAGTTCTTGTCCTTGGATATAGAGTGACCATCTTCGTTAATAACTATTGTTCTTAGGGAGTTTCTGGGGCAGGGAAGACGACACTTCTAGACGTGCTGGCCAGCCGAGTAACGATGGGGGTTATTTCAGGGAAGATGTTAGTTGACGGCCAGCCTCGCGATGCTTCATTCCAACGCAAGACAGGATACGTCACTCAACAAGATTTGAACCTGCACACTTCCACAGTCCGCGAGGCCTTGCAATTCAGCGCGCTGCTTCGGCAGCCAGCTCGGTACAGCCGGCGGGAGAAACTCGACTATGTGAACGAAGTAATCAAGCTGGTTGACCTTGAAGACTGCGCAGACGCTGTGGTCGGAAATCTTGGCGAGGGCCTGAATGTAGAACAACGGAAACGCCTAACTATCGGAGTCGAGCTAGCGGCACGTCCCGAGCTGTTGCTGTTCCTGGACGAACCGACGTCCGGCCTCGATAGCCAGACATCTTGGGCCGTCTGTGACCTCATGGAGAAGCTGACCAAGAACGGCCAGGCAATTCTCTGCACAATCCACCAGCCGTCCGCAGCCCTCTTCCAACGATTCGACCGCCTCCTCCTACTAGCAAAGGGTGGCCGGACTGTGTATTTCGGGGAAGTTGGCCACGATTCGTCTATTCTCTTGGACTATTTCGCCCGCAACGGCGCTCCGCAGTTCAAGCGCGGGACCAACCCTGCGGAATATATGCTCGACGTTGTCGGGGCCACCTCTAACTCGAAGGCTGGGCCCAAGATCGACTGGCCAAGCGTCTGGCGTGAGAGCCCCGAATATCAGGATGTACGACGGGAGCTTGATCAGCTGTCTCACGTGGGCAAGGCCGGGTCTCCCGCTTCCGAGGAGGCTGCGGCAGAATTCGCCTCGCCTTTTACGACGCAGCTAGGCCAAGTCACAAAGCGAGTCTTCCAGCAGTACTGGAGAACCCCCAGTTACCTTTTGTCAAAGTTTGTCCTCAGCGCTGGCTCGGTACGTAGTATCACTACTTTTGGAGGATTCCTTTCTTTCTTTTGCTTTGCTCGCCCTTGCAGCATGTCCCAGCTGACAATCCTCTATAGGCCCTATTTATTGGATTATCACAAGTAAATGGCGACGTCACGCAGCGCGGCCTCTTCAACCAGATGCTCGCGACATACATCTTTCTCTTCATCTTCAGCCAGGTCGTCGAGCAGATCCTGCCCCTGTTCGTCTCCCAGCGCACCCTCTACGAGGCGCGAGAGAGGCCAGCGAAGGCTTACTCGTGGATGGTCTTTCTCGCCGGGAATATTATTGTCGAGCTAGCGTGGAACTCGGTAGGTCTCAAGTTCCCACACGAACTCATTATTGATATGGTCTTTTTTTTTTTTTTTTTTTTTTTTTTTTGCGCTAATAAGGGGTTCTAGCTCATGGCGGTCTTCTGCTTCCTTTTCTGGTGGTTCCCTATGGGGCTTTACCGCAACGCAGAGTGGACGGATGCTGTCCACTCGCGCGGCATCACGGCTTTCTTACACCTCTGGGTCTTCTTCGTTTTCACGAGCACGTTCGCGAACGCGCTCATCGCTGCCATCGAGACCGAGCAGGTCGCCGGCGCATGCTTGAACTTCTTCTTCAACGTCATGTTTGTCTTTGCAGGGTAGGTTCCCACCACCACTCACACTCACACTCACTCATTCTTCCCTCGAAAATGTCCTAACTTGAATCGCTATCTTAGAGTTCTCGCCGGACCCGATGAGCTCCCAGGGTTCTGGATCTTCATGTACCGCGTCAACCCCTTCACTTACGTGGTAGAGGGCTTCCTCGGTACAGCCCTCGCCAACGCCCCCGTAACCTGCAAGGCGAGCGAACTCGTCCAGTTCGAGGCACCGGGGGGCACGTCATGCGGGGAGTACGCCGCACCGTACATACGGGAGAATGGAGGGTATCTCGTCGATGACAATACTAGCAGCTGCAGCTACTGTGGCACGGCGGATACTACCTCGTTCTTGACTAGTATGAACATGGACTTTGACAATCGGTGGCGCGACTTTGGATTCATGTGGGCGTTTTGCGTGTTCAATGTCGCTGCGACGATTGGTCTGTACTGGCTCGTGCGTGTTCCCAAGCGGAGGGCGAGGGAGTGAAAGTGCCGAGCAAGTATTAGTATACTACGAAGAACGGGCTAGCCTCATGTACTAAATCAAGACGAGAAGACGAGACGCCTACAAGAAGCATAGTTGGGTACATTGATATTAGACGTTCTCTTGGAACGGTAAACGGTGTTTTAGCTGGCAATGGGAACGCTGGCTAGCAGTAGACAGACCTAGATTGAGGTGAAAGCAATATTAATCGACCTATACTATTTACCATCATCACCTCTACCTACCTTCTATGAGTAAAACTGGCAATCCGTATCCGAGAGGGAGGATTACATACTAGATTTTTTAGGCTTATAAGTAAATTATTAATAAATTAAAATTATATCCTGGTACAAGTTACAATTGAGCTGTCACGAGGCCTTCCTCGTGTCGCACGAGCTTGTTATCTCGAATCCAAACTCTGCGGGAACATCAAAAAGGCATCTTGATTTCTTGTGATTATTACGTGATCAGTTTTATTCAGATTTATTCTTCACTGATAAGGGGAAAAAGAAAAATTAAAAATTTAAATAAAATAAAATAGAAATAAAATAAAACGAAGTTATCTCTGCCGCCATTCGTCACAAGTAAAAAAAGCTGGTCTTGGGATGGTCTGAGAGAAAATTTGGTGCGTCTTTCTCCACCCCAGAATTGAATGCATCGATGCCCACAAGTTGCACATCACCGTCAATCTAAAAATCCAAAATAAATTGGAGAAAATTCCTACCAAAATTCTCCTTTCAGCTTTTGAGCGTACACACCATCATCACATCATGGCGCCAGCATCGTTTGGGGAAATGGGCTATTGGGACGAGCGGTATGAGAAAAGAAAGGACTTCTTCGACTGGCTCCAGCCAGCAGAAGCCATGGACAGCACCATCAAAGCAGCGTTGAATGCATCTCCCCGACAGGATCCCAAGATCCTTCACCTTGGTTGCGGGACGTCGACGTTGTCGTTTGATCTCCGCAAACTGGTTCGGCGTCCCGAGCTGGTGCACAACGTCGACTTTTCCAAGCCGGCAATCGACCTGTGCAGAAAACGAGAAGCCGAAATCTTCGGTGAAGGGAGGGAAGGGAGAGAAGGGAATGGGGTAGGAGAGAGGAATGGTTCCGATCCTTCTCTGTCACCGGGTATGAAGTGGAGTGTCGTCGACCTCCTCTCCTCCGAACAGATATGGCAGCTTCGTAAGCAAGAAGACGCCACGGCCACTTCAGAGCCCTTCGATATGATTGTAGACAAGTCGACCTGCGACTCGCTGTGCTGTGGAGAAGACGTCGTCGTTCGTCTGCCCTATAAGATCCCTCCGCGAGCATCCGACGACCCGTCAGCCCACTCGGGCCCGGATGAGGTGGTTCCATCCGCAGCGGTTGCCCAATCCAGTGTTTATCCCCTCAACCTGCTCGCCGTGCATCTGGCCTACCTGTCTCCGCCCGGAGCGCATTGGGTCGCATTGAGCTTCTCCAAGGGTCGCTTCGACGACTTCGACCCGAGCAGACGTGGTCATCCGAATCCTGTTCTCTTGAAGACTGCGGGGCCGCTAGGCGAGGCGGATAGATACCTAGCGAATCCTGGAGAATTGTGGGAGCTAAAGTCGGTGGAGGAGATCCTAGTTCCCGAGGATGTCAACGACAAGAATGCGGGACAAATAATTCATCGCCCTGCAATATTTCACTATCTCTCCGTCCTCGTGCGGACCGACACGAGGTTCGAATGCAAATAAACCAATCAACAATCTCACGTTCCCTTCGTGGCGGAGAAGACTAGACCTGGGATATCCCCTCTTTCCGCTACACCAGTCAGGGCCACCCCGCCGCTGGCCTGCATTAAAAGCAATATTCTGCAAGGGAAATGTGGGTGACGGGCCAATTTTACGCAAGTGAGACTGAAGATTACTACCTTGGGCTCCAAAAAGGGCTGATCCTTGGGCTGAATACGAGAAGGCCCCTGCAGGAAATTGTGGAACCAGAACCGGATGTTATGGATGCGATAGGTGCTATGGAGTATGATTCAAGGTGTGTTTTGGTGGTGCGTCTTCAGATTGCCTGGCTTTGAGCTGAAGAAATGTGGGTAAGATCGGAGGATTATTCGACCTGGGCGAGAATGAAAAAAGTACGAGTTACGACGAATGAGATCCTCCGTCGTGCGTGCGGGAGAATTGGAAGCGACATTAGCTTCCAGTGGTAGGATATATGGATTCTGGACCAATCGGTACCCTGCCTGCTTCGCATTCATCATGACAGGATCAAGAGACGAGACTAAGAGCTGACTCGTAATATAAAGATGACTTTAATATAAAATCAGGCCGAGAGAATTTCAAGTCTCTGTTCCCAGCCATTTGACGACCCATCTTCCTCATTGCTCCTTCTCGTCGAAGATAATTTCAGCATCACGATATTCAGTAGGCGAGATGCAGAGCTCTTGGATTGCACGAGCTCCTTTCTTTATAGGTCTCTTTCAGGCCCTTCGGCTTGTCTCTCTCGGCCATGCTGCACCCAGTAAGTTCCCGGACCACCTGGCCTGTTAAAATGGGAAAAAAGAAAAGAAGAAAAAAAAAAAAAAAGAGCTGGAGATGAGATATGTCTAATCAGAGAAAACAACAGCTGCCGGGACGTGTCCTGATCTGTCATCTCCCGAGTGCTGCTACAATGCATGGTACTCCTGGACCTCGTCCAAGTCTGTGTTTGAGGAGCTAACTCCCAGCACCTACTTGACAAAGACGACCTCTACTGCGGTCCCAATTCCTGACCCATCTCTCACCACGCTTTGTGATGGATTTCCGCGCCTGCTCGGCCCGGACTATTCGTATTCTACCTTTGTTACCACGTTTGACGAGCCTTCCACCACTTGGGTTGGCAATTCATACATCACGCCTGCGCCGGACTGCACCATTAATGAGGCCGATTGCACTCCTTACATGCTCGACTACGAGTCTTCCACCTCTGCTTATCAGACCAACAACTCGAACCCTTACCCCTTCCATCCTCCATGCACCACCTACTCGGCGTGTCCGGGAGAAGGAGAGGGCATGTGCAAGATGATTGTCAACGTCGAGACGGTATACTACTGGCCGGTTACCATGACGGGAGACTTCTGCGGAGACCGATCAACCATTACCAATCCCGAACCGACGAAGTCGACTGTTATCGCGGGTACGACCTACGTCTCGCCCAGCGTCTACGTCATCGTGTCCCAGTTGAACCCCGCCAGCTACGCAGCGAGATACAGAGCCAAAGACTGCGGCCACGACTTGACCAACAAAGTCTTCAGCATGCATCCCACCGACGTGAGCACTCACTGGGGTCCCCTGAAGCGAAACACCGAGACCTTCCGCCAACTCAACCTCGCCGATCTGAACACCCCCATCCCGGCCACCGCTTACTTCTGGCTCACGGAGCTGCCCAACTGCCAGGCCGACCCAGAGACCTGCAAGTCAACGATCAGGACCGATTATCAGCCTTACCTGTCGGCTGCGACCCAGTCCTTGCGCGGCCTGGACCCGGATGAGCTCGCTTACTGCGATCTTCACCCGAGCCAGCATAATATGCTTGGAGCGCCGACTTGGATTCCGTTGGAGCCTACACCTGATGACTGGCCGACGCCGACTCCCACTCCTACCGTTGGCCCACAGGCCGGTACTAATAGTCCTGCAGAGACTGGTACCGCCTGAAAGCTGAAGTGAGGGAGATATTAATGTCGTCTATGACTCATGGGATTTTCTGAAACGCATGGATGGGATGACTACGAGCAAATAGTGAAGTAAATGAATTGGATAATGAATGTGTTTCGATTATTCTCCCTTCCGATGACAGTACACTAGTAGAGGCGTCTATACCGCTAACTCTAATGCCTTGCCCATGCGTAGGAAGATGTACCGCGAGAGCTCTAGAGTTCTAGCTGAATCCTGTTTGACCGTATCAGTATCATCAAGACACATTTATATCGAAGGAAGTAGACTTGGGAAAGGAGTCGGTACCAATCCATAAACCAGGACAGTGTCCCACCGAGACTCTTGCAAAGGGCCTGACTGTTTGTATTGTCCGGGGATACATCGGCTGCACACCAGCCGTCGTCGCCATATTTACCCGTGTCTGCTCTAAACAGCTTCGCGGACAACGCCTTTGCGAATCCCCGTCCTCGGTAGGCCTCCTGATACATCATTCGTTAAAATCAGGATCATGTCTGGATAGAGCATGGCATGAGCGACTATTCGACTTACCTCACAGTAAAGACTCGATAGTGAACCGTCGACACCTGGAGCACCGGACAATCTTAGATTGATGTCATCAGCAACAGCCAAGGGCTTGCTTACCGAGAAATGCCCATGCAATCGGAGTCTTGTCCCTCGTCTTGATCGTGAGACTGGGCAGTAAAACGAACGTATGCCTTATATACCTAATGTGTCAGTTCATAGTTTCTGATTTTCCAAACGGGCAGAGATCCCACACATTTGCCTTGGTAAATATGTCCTGGATATGGCAATTTGGCAGTCTTCGTGCGTTGCTGGGGACCAGTGCAAACCATCCGCCAAGTCTACCTCGCCACTTGGCAAGTCCTCCATCCTAAACAGCCACTTGTTGGACCCGAGGTCCGCCGAATTTGATTTAAACTTGATTCCCTTCTCTTTCATGACTTCTTGAATGGCTGAATGCAGAGTGCCAACCAAGAGATTCCCGGGGTAAGCCATCTCTCCGTCGTAGGCATTCCCAATTCTCCGAGCTTCTTCAACAACGGCCACGATCTGCTCGGCGCAGACCTCCCGGTCCGAATCCGATACTTTCCCGTCCTCCAGCGTTGAGTAAACCCACATCTGCGTCTCGGGTGACGTTGCAGGGTCTAGAAAGGCCGCCGTGAAGTGGATGGTCTCCTTCTCCCCATCTTGGCGAAAGGCATCGGGCGGCGTTACGATGATTCTAGAAGTTGGAGCCAGCCCTCCCTTGAAGCGAGTGAACTGCAGCCGGCGGAGGAGGGGTAGGGAATAGGGCAAATGACCGGCGAGAAGCTCGACGAGGCCCTCGGGGACGGAGGTAGAAGACAGGACCGTGGGTGGCATTCTTGAGGCGTTGTCTGGGAAGGGTTCTGATAGGGAATCCCGCGGCCTATTGTGTTACGACTCAAGATTGGCCTTCTCAAAGCTGCCTCATTTAGTGAGGGGTTGGTTATGTTACGAAGCCCGAGCAGGGAGCTCTCATTGATGCCTGCCTTGACGTGATTAGTCGGAATGGGATCCAACACATTCCCATACGAAAACCATGCCCGTATTTTGTGACTCAAACAGCTCCACGTCACAGCCTCCTGCCTAAAACAGTTCAGTCACAAACCTATGGTGAAACGGTGCCATTTCAGTGGTGCGACACGGAACTTGGATCCGAACAATGTCGTTAAGGCCCATTTTGCTGTGGTTCTTTTGGGAGAATTTTTCGGTAGTGCGAAACAAAGTTCTCTGGTTTCGACTTCGATTCTAATATTTTCCTTCTCTCATTTTGGCTAGTTCCTCGCAGGCATAAGTACACTGCCACTCTATTATCATGATGAGGTACTTCTTTCTCCCACCATGGCCAGGCTATTTTTAGCCCCCACCCAGCGCATGGGACTCCTCATCAGGCAAGCTGTTGTTCTGACGAGCCGGGCTGTTGTTCGAGAATAATTAAAATACTCTCTGCTCACACTTATTTGGCTTTATGCAAGCAGAACTCCAGGAAAGCAAAGCTTTACAGAGTTCATACATTAAAATTGAAATAGCTCAAGTACCATTCTAATTTTAGTTTAGGATAGGTGGCAATTATAGCTTAAATATATACTAATTATAGCTTAAGTATAAAGTATAAAGGGAAAAATAATAATAGAAATAAAATAAAAATAAAAACTTTTAAAAAAACTCTTAAAAAATCTTTTTAAAAAATTAAAAAAATAATAGGAAAAAAAAAAAGAAGAAAATTACTAGAAATTAAAGCAAATTCTATATTAAACTATTAAAATTAATCTCCTTATTATCTTAGCTTTCTTAGTTAGGCTTAATAAAAATATTATTACCTATATTAACTTAGTAATAGGATTAACTAAGGGAGGAGGTGGGAGGGAGGGCTTTAGTATAATATATTACCTATATAGTATTAAGAGTAACTAATTTAATATTAAGTTAAGCCTTTTCTTAAGAGAGTTAGACCTCTATTTTATCTAATTACTTATTTATTATTTTAATAAAATAAGTTTAATATATTTTAAAGTTTTAATTATAAATTTTAGTTATAGTAGTATAAGTAGGGGAGGGGGTAATAGATATAGATAATAGAGAAATAAGGGATTTATAGGCTTCTATTTTATAGCTAGTAATTAGTAGGTAATATTAAAAGGCTATTAAGAATATAAAAAAGTATTAGGATTATATTAGAAGAAAGGAATAAATATTTAGAGTATTATCTATTATAGTAGTAATTAGTATAGGCTTCTTTAGTATTATTAAGGGCTTCCTTTATAATAGAACTAATAATAATATACTAGTTTTAAAAATTAAAGTTTTTATAATAGTTAGTATAAGGAATAGATATTATTTAGCTATTATATTATAAGAAAAAAGTAGATTAATTTACTATTTTTTTTAAGTACTATATATTTTTAGAATAAGGGTTTTTTTTAATATAGTAGGTAGGGTAGAGGTAGAGGAAGGGGATAGTACTAGTAGCTAATAAATAGTTTTAAGATTTAAAGAAAAAGGTATTTTAATAATAAAATTTAAATATATCTATTTTAATAATAATAATATTATTATTATTATTATTATTATTTTTATTTTTTTTTCTTTTTCTAATTATATTATTAGTAGTATTTCCTTTAGTAATATACTTTTTAGTAATATTATTATTATTATTATTATTATTATTATTATTATTATTATTATTATTATNTCTTCTTCTTCTATATTATTTCTAGGTAGTTCTTCTATTATAGTATTTTTAAAAGTTTCTTCTTCTTTTAGGAATTTTATATTATATATAGTTTATTTTTATATTTTTATTATTATTATTATTATTATTATTATTATTATTATTATTATCTTTATAGTTTTTATTATAGTAAGTAGTAGTCTTTTAAATATATTTATATTACTTTAATAACTAGGTTATATTATAAGAGGTATCTAATAATTAAATTAGCTAGAATTTATTAAATAGAATAGTAGATAGAATGTATTAGAGTTATTTATTATTAAATTATAGATATTACCTAATTTAGTAATTTTTATAATTATATAGTTTTTTATAATATATTTAAAATTATTTTTAATATTTAAAGATATTTTTTAATTAATTTTAATTATTAATTAAAAAAATAAATAAAAAAAGAATTAGTAATAATAATAGTAATAGTAAGTATAGTAATAATAGTAATAATAATAATAGTAATAATAAGAAAAAAGTTAGAAAAGGAAAGGGGAAAAAAAAAAGGAAGGCTAAAAATATAGAAATTTCTATATCTTTAATATAATATATTTAAAATTAAAAATAATTATAATTATTATTTAATTATAAGCTAATTAAATATTAATATTAAAAATAATTATTATTTTATAATTAAAGTTTAATTATATATATATATAAATATAATTTAGTTTTAATAGATATTAAAGATAATTATTTATAATAATATTAATCTAAGAAAAATCCCTAGAGGCTTCTAAAGCTTTTATTTTTATAATAATTATATAAAAAAGCTTACTTTAGTTTATAATAGTTATTTTTAATTAAATAATTTAAATATAAAGTTAGTTATTTTTTTTATAAAGTCTTTATATAATAGCTTATAAAATTTAAGTCTTAATATTAGTTTTATTATTTAGAAGTAGAGGAGGAGGGAGAAAAGGTAAAAGAAGAGGAGAAGGAGGAAGTAGAGGTAGTAGTAGAGGAAAAGGAGGAAATAGAGGAAGTAGTAGAAAAAAAGGGGCTTATCTTTAAATAGTAAGCTAATTATAATAAAGATAAAAATATTATTAAATTATATTAAGATTTCTATTAATATTAATATTAAAATAAAAGATTATATTTTTATATTAGATTTATAAAACTAATATATTTAAAATAATATTATAAAAATAATTTTATTAAAAGTTAAGAATTTAGCTAATTTAATTAATATTAGAAAATAGAATTTTAAGCTTATCTTAGATAATAGTAATATATTTATTAATATTATTAAGAAGTATATTAAAATCTTAATTATATTAGTTAAAATAATTAATTTATAATAATAGTATATCTTACTTAGTTAAATATATTAGAATCTTTAAAATAAGTTAACTTTTTATATTAAGAAGGTAGGTTTAAATATTAATTTTTAATAATAGAGGAGTATTTATATAAGCTATAATATAATATACTTAGTTATAGATAGCTTACTAGCTATTATTATTATTTTAAATATTATAAGAAAGAGCTTAGATAATCTAGTAGATATCTTCTCTATAATATTTTTACTATTAATATATAAGTAAACTAATAAGATAATTTTAAAGGTATATTATAGTTTACTAGCTAGATTTAAGATTAGTAGTAGCTATAATATAGAAGAGATAAAGAGGAATATTATATTTAATATAAAGATATAATATTAAGATAAATAGATATAGAATAGAGGAAAAAGTAATAAGAAACTAAAAAGGATAGAAGCTATTAGAATAAATAGGAGATAAATTTAATATTAGGAATAAATAAGTTATTAACTTATTATTAGAAATAAAAATAGAAAATAAAATATTATTTTAACTAAAATATAAAAATAACTTTTCTTTTTTTTTAATAAGTTATAACTAATATTTAATTATACTTTAATTACTTAGTAATTAACTTATAACTAAGCTTTAATTATATATTAATTATATACTAAAATATATAATTAGTAAAATAAAATAAAATAAAAATAAAAATAAAAATAAAATTAAGGGGCTTTTAGTAAATATAAGCTTTAACAAATCTAATTACTAAATCTTACTTAAGCTATAGTACCTAGCTATCTCTATAAGGTATTAAGATTAAAAGATATTTTAAAAAGAAGTTTTTAAAGAATATATATATAGAAGATTATAATATATATTAAACTAGGCTAAAACTTAAGATTTAATATATTAATAATAATAATATTAAAAGTTAAACTTTATAACTTATAAATTATTATAATATAAATAATAACTAAAGGAAATTATACTCTCTAGTATAAAGTATTTCCTTTAAAAAACTTATAAATAGACCTAAAAATAAATATAACCTAATAACTATTATATTTAAATAGTAATAAACTAAAATAACTATTAAATATAATAAGAATTATAAAAAGTAATATCTATTAAAAATTATCTATACTAGATTTCTAAATAATATTAACTACTTTACTTATAATACTATTACTTAGCTTATTAATAGTTTAAAGGTTTTTAATAAATATAATTTAATAACTAATATAAATAAAAAGCTTAATTTTAAAATTACCTACTTTTCTAGTTAATATCTAATTATAATTAAGATTAGTATTTATTATTTTAATTAGAAGAACTAGTATCTTAACTTTACTTATCTATTTAAAATTAAAGTTATTAACTTTTTTATTTATAATATAAATATATAAAGCTTACTTAAAAAAATATACTTCTTATAAAAGTAGATTTCCTTATATATAGGTAGCTAATATCTACTAAGATTTTCTAGATAATCTTATATTTTTAAAACCTTTTAAAGTATTTCTAAAAGTAGCTTAATTTTAACTACTTTATTTTATAGTAATATAAAGTTAAATAATATAATTAAAAAACTAATAAATATTCTACTTTAAAATATTAAAATTATAAGCTAATATATTATAATAGTAAAAAGGGGGATATTAGTAAAAAGGGAGATGTTCTCAAGGTTCCGTAAGAATAGTAGTGGAAAAATATTATTCCTTACTATAAACTATAGCTATAGTTATTTCTTTTCTTTCCCTTCCTCTCTTAAAAGGGAAAATAAATTCTTTAATAAGTTTATTAAATTTACTAAATATTCTAATTATTAATTCTTCTTTTAATTA